CCCCTATAACACTGTTGATTTTTCCGTTTTATATGAATTCCATGTTGTACGAGTCACTTAGATTTTACAAATACGTTTGCCGGGCTGTGAACGGCTCACGTATTTATAAAATCTAAGTGACTCGTACAACATGGAATTCATATAAAACGGAAAAATCAACAGTGTTATAGTATAATTGACAGAGATGGGCTTTGTGTATTTTATAACGTTATATCGAAGTTTAATTATACACTGTGATTTCCGAGCATTAATAACACAATAGAAAATTATCTTCCTTTCTACGCTTATCTACGTTATATCGGGTGATTTAGAACTCAGATATATATAAAGATTCGTTGTGTATAACGTAAACCTTATTCTCTAGATGATACTTAAATTAATTTTTATTTTTTAGCTTATTAAGATGTTTAAATAAGACTTAGAAGTTTCATCTTATCTGTAGACACAGCCATTTGGACGTTATAACAGGATGTTACTCTATGTTTTCCCTTGTGTATTTGCACACGCAGTTCGATTTCGGCTGACAATGCCCTAAAGAATTACTCCCTCCGAAGTATTCTTTCTTTTGAAGTTTCTCTGATATTTATGTCAATATAAAAAAGAAATCTTTGAAACTGTATTCTTTGTAGTTAGAGTTGTATGCTATGTGATTATCTGGATGAACCCATGGGATCTTTATAAACTTCCTTATTTTTCTAAACTTTATAGAGACTTATATAAATTTTCTAAATATATAAAATGTATCTACGTTAAGAATTTATCTTCTTTAACCTGTATTAATTAAGTAAATGGCTTTCTTTAGATAGAAAATTACGTTTCTTTCGCTTCCTCTCAAATCTCCGAGGGATACTTTTAAGAGAAAAATGCTACTCGTAATAATAAAATCAAAATATATGCTGTAAAACCTGTTCGAAACGGAACCCGAGTAAAACAGAACGCAGCTATTTTTTTACCTTAAAAACCTGTTTAAAACGAAAACTGAATAAACGGAGTCATTTTTTTTTATGTTTAACTTGTTGAAAACGGAACCTGGATAAAAAGAAAATGGTAAAAATAAAAAGATTTTTATTTTGAAAACCTGTCTAAAACGGAACGGGACGATTTTCTATATTAAAAAACCTGTCTAAAACGAAACAGGACGATTTTCTATATTAAGAAACCTGTATAAAACAGAACGGAACGATTTTCTATATTTAGAAAACCTTTTTAAAACGGAACCGAGCGACTTTGTTTGTTAGAAAATCTGTCCAAAACGGAACGGAACGATTTTCTATATTAAAAAACCTGTCTAAAAAGGAATTGAGCTATTTTGTGTAAAAAACCTGTCTAAAACGGAACGGGACTATTTTCTATATTAAAAAACCTGTATAAAACGGAACGGGACGATTTTCTGTATTAAAAAACCTTTTTAAAACGGAACCGAGCGATTTTGTTTGTTAAAAAATCTGTCCAAAACGGAACGGAACGATTTTCTATATTTAAAAAACCTGTATAAAACGGAACGGGACGATTTTGTTTGTTTAAAAACCTGTCTAAAACGGAACGGAGCGATTTTATACGTTAAAGAAAACCTGTCCAAAAAGGAAACCAGTCAAATATTCGATACCGTGCGAATCGGTTCACACAAGTTTTACCGTATCTTCGCCTCTGTTTATAATAAATGAATAATTAAACAGATTATTTTAAACAATTTACACAATTTTTAAAAACGAACACAAAGATTAAACAGGAGAAGAACAGAAAATAAAGTAAAAAAAAAAAAAAAAATTACAGAATAAAAATTCGCATACAGAAAATTCAAGAGAAAATTGAGTTCTTGAATANTTTGACTTGTAGATGACTAAATTTGACTGTGGAGCTGGCTAAATTTGACTAGGAGCTGGCTAAATTTGACTGTGGAACTGTTTAAATTTGACTTGGAGCTGACTAAATTTGACTGTGAAACTGTCTAAATTTGACTGTGAAACTGTCTAAATTTGACTTGGAGCTGACTAAATTTGACTCGTAGAGCCAGCAAAATTTAAACCAGAGCCAGCTAAATTCGAATGTTAGAGTTGAAAGTAAACAATCGTAACTCCAACAAATGACTAATTTAAGAATTTATTCGGGTTCATTAACGAAACGAAGAATATTCTCCGATTACCAATTAAGTGTTCAAATTGTTAAAAGGGACATAATTAATTGTTATAACATGATTGACGACACGGATGCTGCCGAGCAATAAAAGAGTTTTACACTGGGCCAAGTAATTTTAATCGAAAGCACTCTTAATGCTCTGATTACAGTTTAACAGGACTTATCTTGTCACATAATATAATCCTAGTCTCTACGATTAGTCATAATTAATACTTCTATGGTAACAAACGTGGTATCAGTTGATGAAAACGAATTCCAATATCTCAGATGCAAATTAAATCACCAAAAAGAAATATTTGATCAAACAGAAAGGGGAATCCTTTTACTACTTTAATTATATTCAAACTTGAAATTTTAGTGTTCTAATTAAACTTTAAATAGTCTTCATATCTTAATTTATTCACCAGCCAAGATTAAAAATTCTCTTAAGTAAACAGGGATGTACGAAGACACGTGATTCCAAAGATGTTACGTTCTGGTAGAAAAGTAATATATATATAGCAGCCGTGTTTTAGGGGTTTTTTACAGCTTAAAACAGTACCGAAAAATTTGTAAATCGACTTTTTCTGTTGCGGAATTGATGGCAGTTTGTACACAAAAGTGGATGAGGTAATTACGTTACACGAAATTTCTATGGTGGGGTAATTTACAGATTCGTTTTCTCTTTCACATCATTCACAATTTTACCGTAATTTTACATTAATATAAAGTAAATTTATCTAAGTTTCGGTGACTGGCATACGTCCCAATTGTTTAAAATCATTTAATTTTCTCTGACAGTAAATTACACGTCACCAGACCGGGGGAGGTAGTTAGAAACTCGTATCTAACAGGCACCTTATTAGTAGTTAGGGGATATAATTTTATTTTCTAGTGTGAAATTACAAAATATAAATTACACTTTATAATAATTCTGGTGCTGTTAAATATTTAAAAGAAAGAAAAAAAAAGTCTCGAGAAGGAAATCTGTAGAAGAAAACTGCGGTTAACAAAAGGAGTATAATAAATGGCACACAAGTAACTACATAAGTTTTAATTACAGGCATCACCCAGTCGAAAATGCTTACTTATAATCGAGTAATTACTAATTTAATTTCATTACGAATCTATAGAGGGAAACTATAACCGAGTATTAAATGCGCACTATATACATCGTTAAATATATCAATGAAGCGGCACAATGAGATGAGAAGAGACTTTAATGGAGCTGGTCCGTTTCCAATGAGTGGACAGAGGAAACTGATTGTGCTATTAATTGCTTACTTCCTGTCAACAGGGTTCCCGGACAGTCCGCCAGAGCCTGCACCCCCACCGGCGGTACCACCTCGTTCTGTGCATTCTGTGCATCACATCGATACCACTTTGGGAAGGAGGCCGAGATTGGGATATTTGGAGAGCGAATGCGAATCGGAACCACCCTATTTACCCACCATGCTTTCGGGAGCATTCACTAGTTACGCCTCTGAAGGTGAGTGAACACTTAAAATTTTAATATAATAGGGCGGAGTTCCTCTATAACTAGTGTGTTTTAGAAGCATTTTTAATGAAAATTACTATTAATTTCGGGAATGAAATTTACCTTTAAATAAAAATTATGATTGTTTAGGAATGAAATTAACCACTTACTTAATAGTAATCTATGATGGTTTTTTTTATTATGGCGGTGTACACGAGCGATACACCGTGTGCGTGTTATATACGATAATATCATGGTAATTCATAAATAAGGTAGTAGTACATGAAAAACTAGTTACATTAAACGATTTTTATGGCGAATATATTTAAAAACTCGTATAAAATCGAGTTAAATCGATCAAAGAATGCCCGTTTTTTTTTAAGTTAAATTAACGAGTAAGCCATACTTTAATACGAAAGTTCTATAACTTTTATGGGAATATTTACGCGCAGAATAGATAAATATAGCGAGGAAACGACATAAAATAAATAAAATTATGGAAAACGCGTGGTAATGTAAACAATAAACGTCATTTAAGAGACGTGGTATTTAGGAAACCACTTTAGTTGATGGTAAGTCATTGAAGAAGTTGATTACGATTTTGCATGTTGCTAGAAATATTTATGTTGCTCCGTGTTTAGAATGCAAATATAACTAGTAAATAGAGCAATTCAAATTTTAGAGAGTTTTATTTTTAAAAAAATATCAAAAACACTAACATATTTTTTACATTTATAAACCAATTTGAAGGTATTTAAATGCTCTTTTTTTTTTTTACTTTCCCGGCCGTAAAATAACAAAGGAAAAGTATGGCCATCGGTTAAAAATGACCCCCTATTCAAGATTTTTACATTTTTTAGACTCTTATAACGATGAGAAATTCTAAAAATTGGAGGTTTTTTCCCCGTATGTATGTGTTTTTTCGGTAGGCACGATTTTATTCACCGAAATTTGAAGCTTAATAACTCTCGTGTCTTTTGTCGAAAATTTATGAAATTTTGCTGGAAGGTTTATGTATTAAGTGAAAATTTTACTGGAGATTTTTATGAAAATCGGACAATTAGTTCGAGAGATATACACCCTTAATATCTCCCGAACTAATCTGAAGACTTATAAAGGTAATGGTAGCAATTATTCAGGATGAAAACAAATAATAAATGCTAGGAAAGTTTAGCAGCAATGTTTTCAGCCTTTTTCTTTTTTATAAGCGATTAGGAAGGGGAATTTCATGTTTATATTGCCATTAATTTAGGTAAGAGAAAGATGCGGATGATAATGATTTTGGAAAATGATAATGCAGATGGAAGCGGGATGTTAAATTATTAACGATAACAATACCTTGGTTAAGTATTGATGATTAATTGCCGTGACGATAGAAGGTTTAGCAGTTACAGTTATTATGAAGAGTTCAAAAGGTAAACAATCATCATTAACGTTTGTCGAAATGATTTTCGTAGTTAAAGATGTTTTGCGGTTTGATTTAATTGTATGACGTAACAGAGAAAACGTATAATTATTCTTCACTTCGATTTTGTTACGCAATAAACTGTAACGTAGCGAATAATGCGGCTATTCACCTTTTATTTTGGATAAACAACTGGCCACACGAATCATTATTCATTTTTGTTTGTGATAAACCACGTCTGAACCACTCCGACTGATTAAAATCAAACTTTCCACTTTAAATTCCTTTTCCAATCTACTAAACTTTTTAAAAAAATTAATTAGAAATGTTAACTGGACTTTCTTATCATTCTTTATTTGTTTTCATCCCTAATAATTGTCATCATTATCTTTGTAAACCTTCGGGGATATTAAAGAAGTGGGCCATATCTCCCGAAAAAATAGTCCGATTTTCCTAAAAATTTCTAGAAATATTACCCCCAAACACATAAACCTCTCCGAAAAGTTTCAGAAATTTTCGACAAAAGACACAGGAGTTATTAAGCTTCAAATTAGATGAATAAAATCGTCTCCTCCTACACATTAACATTAATATATACATAAACCAACCCCCATTTCTGGACATTTCAAGGTCCCTCGAGTCTAAAAATTTAAAAATATTGAGGAGGATCATTTCACGATCGATCACACTTTCCCTCTGTTATATAACAGCCAGAAAAGTGAAATTCTTCATGATCTTTTTATAGTTATCCTGCGAGGTTGAGCATTATTTAGGCTTTTATATTATTTAAAAAAATCTATAACCTATTTAAAGGCGAATAATATTTTAAAATGTATCTACATCCCGTCTTTTCTAAAATACAGTTAATGATGCTAATTCCTTTGCTCCACGTCATCATTTCTTTCACGTGGACAGAGAGAGAGAGAGAGAGAGAGAGAGAGAGAAATTCTCCTGATCCTCCTAGAGATGAAAAGTGGAAGAAAACAAGATCTAACCATTTTCCAGCATATGTAGAGTTGAATAAAAGGAAGAAGAAGAAGAAAAAAAAATTATTGGAATAAATGGAATTATTGAAGAAGTCGAAACGCTTCCGTTGTTTATGGAATAAAGAAAGATCTGCCGTTGCTGCTTAACGAAGCATTTCTCTTCTTACATTCCTTTGGATAGCAGTTCCGCTATCGTTGTTGCACGAAAGAACCATGAATCAAAAGAAGGCAGCTGCACAGAATGAAGTTAAAACACGCACTCTTCGTGTTACAGAAATATTTAATCCTTAAAATCCAGCGAGAATTCCTACAAAATAATATATAATTTTAGAATTTTTTTTTCTTACGTTATTTTAAGGACACTTGATTCTTTAAAATATAAAATGTTTTGTAATTCATTTATTTTTTAACTGGCTAATTAAGAAGTTAGATTAACAGTTACCTGAAGGATTCAACTTGTTAAGCTAAGGATGAGGAGCTTGTTAAGCTGAAGAAACATTCTGTTAAGCTAAATAAGGAGGAATGAAATTGCTTCAACTACACGCTAACTGCAAAGCTCTACCATTAATATAACACAGATCCATTTCTCCCTATACAGCACCATGTTTTGCTTGTAAACATGAACAGTTTCAGACTTATGGGACACCTCATCGTGTATAAATTTGCACCGTAATCTACTTAAAACGTTTCTATTATTCTTTCAATTAATAATATACCTTTTTCTTCTCAAGATTTGCCATCTGTAACGCAAACTGTTACACTCGTTGCCAATCCCGGTTCCGTATCCATAATTGAAGAATCCGAAGAATTAAAGAAACTTAACAGAAAGGACGGCGAGAGGTATGTAGAAAATTATTATTTATTCTTTTATTTAATTATTATTCTAGGATTAATTTCATTTAAGATGATATCTAGTACCAAAAAAACACACACACACACCTGTGTAAACCCGAAAATAAAAACTTTAACTAACTTAAACGGCGTTAATAACGAGATAAACAGTTTAAAATAGCAAGCAACGAGTTGAGTGACTTTCCCGGCAAAAATACTTAAAATTGCGTATGGGTGCCATCTGTTATTGTATTTTATTTTAAAAATTTTTGTATTATTAATTATTATAAAACGACAAATGCTTAATTTTGAGCATAGAGATTACTTTTTATATAATAAAAAGAAAAATTTAAGTGTTAATAACGAGTATACTCTTCATTAAGTTCGACCTCTCTATCTCCACACCATCTTGACCTTTAACCGCTAAAATTTAACAGCATTAATTCGTCTAATACACGAACCTCCATGCAAAATTTCAGAAATTTTCGACAAAAAGCGCAGAAGTTATTAAGCTTCAAACTGAATGGATACAATCGTGCTCTCTAACACACACTAACAATCATACATACAGAAAATCCCCATCACAATACACACACTAACAACTATACATACAGAAAACCCCCATCGCAATACACACACTAACAACTACACATACAGAAAACCCCCCATCACAATACACACACTAACAACCATACATACAGAAAACCTCCAACACACACACACACTACCATACATAGAGAAAAACTCCTCAATTATCCTGCATTTCTGGACGTTTCTGGTCCTCTAAATGTAAAAATTTTCAGGGTCATTTTCTGACCTAACCCATACATTTTTCCAGTGTTATATATAACAGAAGTGAAAGTAAAAAATACACAAAAATACCACCAGACAGTATATCTTCATTTCCCTCTTTTTATCTCTGTATAAATAAGGATTATATATATATATATTATTTATAAATTCAATTTTCTGTAATTCAGTTACAGAAAAAATATATATATATATATATATTCCAGAATCGTTTTAAAACGTCAGAAAATCTTCAAAAGTATTTTAGGAATTGTCAAGAACTATAACGTATTCAAATAGGATAAAATTAACAAACTTGACACACGAAAGGAGCAAATTTATATTTTTGAAGTGTGCCCGTCTTCATTTTCCATTCAGTTCATTTACTGCTTCATTCCTAATTCCATTTACGAATGCCGTGTTTTCATTTGCATAACTCTTTCATTAAATCTGCAAGCATATATGCCAGTGTCTTATCCTGGTTTGTGACTGGTTACATCACACTTGTCTTCTATCGAGTGTGTGCATTCCCTTGCAAACATTACGGTTCCTTGACAGCTTTTCTATTAAATTGATAACTGAATTGGGATTAAATTTCTATTCTTGAGTAATGTTTGTGTGTGTGCAAAGATTGGAAATTCCAAATAAAAGAAAGAACAGGAGAAGAAAGAAAGAAAAAATTTATATATATATATATACATATTGTATTGTTTGTTGATGGATTTCTGTATAAATTTCAATTCTTCTTGTAATAAATTCTTTAAAATTCTGATATATTTTCGACGTCTCTCTTCATTTTCTCTTGATGTGTCTACGTTTTTTTCTAATATATTTTTGACGTTTTATTATTTTTATTATTCTTCTCTTGTTAAATTTTTAATATTTTTAGATTAATCGAATTTTTTTTAAAGTGGATAAACCTCGGTATAACGCTTCCGAAATTGGAACTGTGTGTAAATAACAACGGTGACTACACACGTCTAGTGTGAAATCGTACATTTAGTACAGTCGACCCCCCCTATAACACCGTTGATTTTTCCGTTTTATATGAATTCCATGTTGTACGAGTCACTTAGATTTTACAAATACGTTTGCCGGGCTGTGAACGGCTCACGTATTTATAAAATCTAAGTGACTCGTAGAACATGGAATTCATATAAAACGGAAAAATCAACAGTGTTATAGTGTAATTGACAGAGATGGAGCTTTGTGTATTTTATATTTAAGAGGGGTAACGTTATATGGAGGTTTAACTATATACACTGTGATTTCCGAGCATTAATAACACAATAGAAAATTATCTTCCTTTCTACGCTTATCTACGTTATATCGGGTGATTTAGAACTCAGATATATATAAAGATTCGTTGTGTATAACGTAAACCTTATTCTCTAGATGATACTTAAATTAATTTTTATTTTTTAGCTTATTAAGATGTTTAAATAAGACTTAGAAGTTTCATCTTATCTGTAGACACAGCCATTTGGACGTTATAACAGGATGTTACTCTATGTTTTCCCTTGTGTATTTGCACACGCAGTTCGATTTCGGCTGACAATGCCCTAAAGAATTACTCCCTCCGAAGTATTCTTTCTTTTGAAGTTTCTCTGATATTTATGTCAATATAAAAAAGAAATCTTTGAAACTGTATTCTTTGTAGTTAGAGTTGTATGCTATGTGATTATCTGGATGAACCCATGGGATCTTTATAAACTTCCTTATTTTTCTAAACTTTATAGAGACTTATATAAATTTTCTAAATATATAAAATGTATCTACGTTAAGAATTTATCTTCTTTAACCTGTATTAATTAAGTAAATGGCTTTCTTTAGATAGAAAATTACGTTTCTTTCGCTTCCTCTCAAATCTCCGAGGGATACTTTTAAGAGAAAAATGCTACTCGTAATAATAAAATCAAAATATATGCTGTAAAACCTGTTCGAAACGGAACCCGAGTAAAACAGAACGCAGCTATTTTTTTTTTACCTTAAAAACCTGTTTAAAACGAAAACTGAATAAACGGAGTCATTTTTTTTTATGTTTAACTTGTTGAAAACGGAACCTGGATAAAAAGAAAATGGTAAAAATAAAAAGATTTTTATTTTGAAAACCTGTCTAAAACGGAACGGGACGATTTTCTATATTAAAAAACCTGTCTAAAACGAAACAGGACGATTTTCTATATTAAGAAACCTGTATAAAACAGAACGGAACGATTTTCTATATTTAGAAAACCTTTTTAAAACGGAACCGAGCGACTTTGTTTGTTAGAAAATCTGTCCAAAACGGAACGGAACGATTTTCTATATTAAAAAACCTGTCTAAAAAGGAATTGAGCTATTTTGTGTAAAAAACCTGTCTAAAACGGAACGGGACTATTTTCTATATTAAAAAACCTGTATAAAACGGAACGGGACGATTTTCTGTATTAAAAAACCTTTTTAAAACGGAACCGAGCGATTTTGTTTGTTAAAAAATCTGTCCAAAACGGAACGGAACGATTTTCTATATTTAAAAAACCTGTATAAAACGGAACGGGACGATTTTGTTTGTTTAAAAACCTGTCTAAAACGGAACGGAGCGATTTTATACGTTAAAGAAAACCTGTCCAAAAAGGAAACCAGTCAAATATTCGATACCGTGCGAATCGGTTCACACAAGTTTTACCGTATCTTCGCCTCTGTTTATAATAAATGAATAATTAAACAGATTATTTTAAACAATTTACACAATTTTTAAAAACGAACACAAAGATTAAACAGGAGAAGAACAGAAAATAAAGTAAAAAAAAAAAAAAAAATTACAGAATAAAAATTCGCATACAGAAAATTCAAGAGAAAATTGAGTTCTTGAATATTTTAAAGATGTTTAACAATTTCTTTCCTTCTTTGTATGAAGAATTTAAGACTCGTAAGCAATAAAAACAATTCCTTTTATTTTTTTTTCTTATTAAACAATGTAAATAGATGCTAGCTAGTTTCTGTATCGATCTCATGGATTGGTTACTTTTAAAATAAAAGAAAAAAACGGCATTTTATTGGTTGGAATTACTCTAAGTATGGAGGAGGATCCGATAAATCAAACTTGTTCGCTTTTCAATAATTATCCGGCAGTTTACCGGAAGTAGTTGTAGTTGCCAAGAAGAATTACCATTTATCCTGCAGTTTTCTAAGTTAAATAGACGAACTGTGAATATGTCAAGCAAACATTACGACTGTTTTGTCAAACGACCGGTTTGAAAAGACAATTGAGACGGTCATTCCTTCTCCGAACGTCGTTACCTAAATCACTATCAATGATCTGAAACGGGATGGTTTTATTCACTCGACTGAATTCAACAAGGGCCAAGTGTGGTAAAATACCTTCATTGTTTTCTACGTGCATTACAGGAATGGTCGTATATAAATATTACTTCTTCCACTTGTAAATTGAGAAATATACAGTATATATATATATATATATATATTTTAAATCCCTCGTAACACACGGAATTACACATTAATTGTTGGGAAAAAGAAACAAAAGAAAAAAAAACACTGTGATTAATCAAGGATGCGGAGGGAAGAAGGGAAAAAAAAGCCTTAATGTTATCATCACGTGATCGGTGCAGTTGCGTGTCTTAACAAAGTTTCGCTTGATGAGAAGGCGAGATCTTGTGTTTGAGTTTAAAAGGGAACACACCTGACAAAATGATGCAATTAGACAAATGGCTACTTGAAAAAGTGATGAAAGAAAGTGCCGCTTCTAGTGATAATTGCTTTTAATCTCGGTTTTAATTACTAACTTTTTTGCTGGTTTATTTAAATTTTTTTTGTTCTTTTTATGTTTGTGTGTGTGTGTTAATGAAGAAAAAGTTATATTTTTTTGAAATAATAAGACGTTCCGTCCGTAAATCCGAATGTATCACGACACTAGATTGGTAGTATGTCTCTGGAGCCATCATTATACTCGACTATTCTTCACGTTACTCGTACTGTTCGAGTGCTAACTTTTCAGTCAAAAGAGTAGCAACACCAGTTCATCCTCTCACGTGATATATTTGCACGCGAAAGATGGGCGTTACGCCAAGTTCTACTGCCCTCTAATCAACTGGGTTTGTAGCAGATATCAGCATTACCCGCCTTCCGATATTGGAAAGAAAAGTTTTACCACTTTCCATTCGATATCGAGCGAATGTCATCGATTCCCCTTTGCAAAAATTAATAATCTAAACTTCCCTTTACAGATTGTACGGTCAACAAGTGCAGATACCCGATGCCTTGAATAACGCTTCTAAATCCGTTACCATAGCGACATCATCCAATAATCCGGTTTCCAATTCATCCGAAGGCCCGACTTACAGTAATCCACTTCCCGTATTTTGCAATACACCGAGTTCGACTACAGGTCCCATGGTACCTGTCACCAATTGTGTCAATCCTCAACTGATCCAGGCACCGACAGCGCCCTGTACTAGTAGACCACACTTTTCTACTTCGGCCTTCTCTGCATCGGTCATTTCACCTTCCAGATTCCATTTGAGGAAGTCCTGCCTTCACAAATGCTCGTGGAAATGGGCCACCATCGTTCTTATATGCGTTACAATCGTCATGACGGCCACCATGACGTATTTTGCAGGTAAGTCAACCCTCCCCTTTTCTTTTTTTAATTTTCGGAAAATTAATCGCTTACGTACGTAACAAAATAGAAAAGTTTAAAGAGGAATTTTGCCAAACTCATCGAGTAATGGATATCAAAGGACTGGAACATGTCGTAACTGCTCATTGAACCAAAAACAACAAACAATAGAAAGAGATATATAACTTATCCACTTGATCTTGATAAATGTAATAAATCAAATCAATAAGGAAAATCTAATCAGACCAAATAGCTTCACTTTAATTCAATCTGCTTTAGAATAGATGACGTTGCACTTTTGCAACCATCTGTCTCACGGTCGATTCTTTCCCCCTTCTCGTAATGCGCTACACCCAAGCTGCGCTACACACTACAGTTACGATTATCCACGCTTTCACGGTTAATCGATTTATAGCTTAAGTATCTATATATCAATGACCTGTTAACTCCATATGCCATGAGAGATATATATGGCCTTCATTTAAATTTTTCACGCTGAGAAATTTACTTCGCTCTTTAAAAACCCCACTTCTTACACCACTCCATTATTTTCTATTTTTATATAAGGCTATTTAATTATAAAATGACTTTTTTTTTCTTTTTCAGCCATGAACTCGCTAAACATCACTCCAGAAACCAGTAAACCGTGTATAGTTGTGGATTCTGTAGAAAGTGCCACGAGATATCCTGCCACTATATCTCCGAGTGAGTTTTCCTTATACCATTTTAAACCCTTTTTTCGACCTTCAATTGACCTCTATAAGCGGTTAGTGTGAAAATTTAATAAAATCACTCGCTAAACACTGCGTATAGATGTAGATTCTACAGAAAGTACAGCAACATATCCTTTGAGCCAGTGGCACGTCATGGGGCCCAGGCAAATTAGAATTAGGAGATCCCATGTAGAATATTGACTTTAGACATTTATCTTCTAAGGAATTATTTAGGGAGAATCCCCAATATTTTCGTTGGTTTTCTTAACGCCACTTCTGATAGGTTTTAATTAAATTCTGTGCTACTCCAGTGCACCGAAGACGGCCTCGGCTCCGCAGTGCACCGCGCGCCAGCACCATATCTGCTCTGAATTTAAATTTCTATATTCTTACAGTTTTAAAAGATTGGTTTGGAGCCCCCTTTTATTGGGACCACCAGACAATTTCCCTTTTTACCCCACCACTAGTTTTTCCCCCACTTTAAACCATTTTTTTTTATTATTTTCGACCTTCAATCGACCTCTATAAATTCGCCAGTCATCAGTTAATTTTAAATTTAACAAAAGCTATTAAATTATAAGAGTCTAGACATAAAAATTTAATTAAAGTAACCAATATACCATTTAATAAAAATAATTAATTCGCTCGAAAATGGAGAAACAAAAAGTAAAAGAGAGGACGGGAGGAAGAGAAAAAGGAGGAAGGAAAAAGAAAAAAAGATAAAATGGACTTAGTCTAATTGGTCTGTCAAAACTTGTACAAACAAAAATGGATAAGGAGGATGGAAACAATCCATGCACATTCTGATATTCCATTAGTTGGGCAATTTGCCAAATATACTTAGAGTCAGATTGCCACTTAATGAGTTTAATGAAAACAGCTCGAATTATTACTGTATATGTCATCTAAGTGGGGAGGCATGCAACTCTTTACTTTTGCTCTTACATCAATAAATACAATTCCGGTAAATTATTCTTTGTCGTTTAGTTTCTTCTAAATTCCGATTTAGATTAAAAATTTTGGCGTCAACATTTCGACTTAATGAAGAATATTTTTTTTATTTTATTCCCCCCAACATCCGATGCTGTTTTCCTGTATATTTTTTTTTTCTATTGTGGCCCCAATTCATTAATTCCGTGGTCTCCACGACAACACAATTTCTTCTGGAATTTATTGGATGAATGTTTTACTTCTTTCGTCATCAGTTTTCCACGTAATTTATGACGTTTTGTATCCTCTCCGATTTAATATAGTTAACTTATAAATTTTTCTTTCAATAAGTCTTTATTGAGTTTCATCTTGTTTAAGGGTTCCTTTATTATTAAGTGTTATTTCTCTGTTTGATTTCTGTGAAAGATTATTCGAAAGTGTTTTAGAAGTCGAAGAAAAGTATCTTCTTTTTTTTATTAAATAATTCATATTTTTATTTAAAAACAATGCGATAATCTCATCCACTTTTTAAAGTCTAAATGTTCACTGACGAGAACCATAGAAAATGGCCGCCGTTTAGAGGATTTATTGAAGGTTGCTGTATTTCTCTATTTTAAATTGAAATTTACTTATTATTTAATTAATAATTTCTTTTTAGATACAGGTTCTTTTCCTCAACCGGCTTGTTTAATTCTGCCAAGAGAAATAACGGTATATCAAGAAATCCAAATAGGACCATTGAACAACCGTAAACTCAGGCCTCAACAGACTTGGAATTTATGGTTCGTCCAACAAGAAGCCATGTTTGTTCGTTTTAATTTCAGCGTAGGACACGGGACACGTTTGGCACTTTTGGCCAGAAGATCCGATCCACCATCCATCACTAATTACGACTTTATGGAAGTGGTGGGTGAAGATCGAAGACGTTATAAGAGGGCGACTCTAGTAAGTTCGAACGATGCAGTTTAATTGAATGATATGCATATACGCACAATTAAGCAATTAAACTTAGATTTTACATTCTGTTAACTAAATTGCTTTGCAAATAGTTTTGAAAACTTTTCTCAATTAAATTTCTACGCGTTTGATTGCTAGATTTTTCTAAATGTTTGATTTAAGAGATTTTGGGGTGGAAAGCCAATTTCCGTCTTAATGCAGTTTTAAAAGATGAAATTTAACTTGCAAATTCTTTTTAATATAAAATTTTTTTTTTATTTCTTCTTCTTCTTCTTCTGCCCCACATCTTTAGCCATTAACTCCTTTAGTTTCCTGGCAAATAAAAACGCATTATGCGCAATGCGGCTGGCGTATCCCCCCCATAAAAAAACCTTGTGTGCTTTCTGCCTTCTCCACCCATTTTTGAATTTCTCGACGTGCGAAGATGAATGTATAAAAGTCTACTTTCATTCATACTTCTCTAATGAGATCTATTGAAAATGCGTTCGCCACTACCTCCCTATTAACATTTCGCCTTTGGGAATCCAAATGTGCAGAAAGGCGACAATATCGAGAAGACAAGCCGAGAGTTCAGATCTAATTAAGCTCATTCTGTAAAAAGCCAGAATAGAAAAATAGTCGCAAAGCAGAAAATTTAATTGGATGCCAGCTGATTCGAGAGGGGGAGTAGGAGGTTTGGTTGGAGGGGGGACGAGGATGTTTCGGCGTTGGACTCTTGCCAGAAATTCTTCCACCCCCCCCCACACACACATACGCACGCTCGCGCGCGCACACACACACACACACACACCCCCGACGGTCCTAAAAACGTCAATAAACAGCGACGTAGTTGTCGCTCTCAAACTGCACGTGTCCTCTAGGTAATCCATACCTCTAACTGAATACATTTTTGAAATTTATCTTGCGGTAAATTTAAAAGTTGTGTTTTAACAAAAGGATCTTTTCATTCCTTTTTACTAACTTTACTGTAATTTATTTATATAAAGAACTTTGGTCTTTTACTCATTGTTTCTTCTTTCTAATAATCCTTTTGATTGCTGGAAGACGAAGACGAAGAAAAGAGGAGTAAAAAGGAAACTAATTCGCGCAAATTTTCCTTTGTTCTGATGGATGTATGTTGTAAAATACACGGAAAAAAAAGAGTAAAATAATCAAATATTTAGAACTTCTTTAGCTCGACGAGTTTAGAAATTTAATATTCAAGAGAAGGATCGAGGAACACGGAGCTAAAGAATCGTTTCTTTAGACTAATAATACCATCAAGATTTGTCCTTTCAGTCGATCATAGTCACATGGAAACCGAAAGCTTTCAGCATGCACTTTATCCATTAGCATACATCTATTTGTATACATTTCCATTTACAGCATTTCTGATGCACTGTAAAAGCAAGAAACTATCCGATATTCATTTAAAGGTCGCAGCGGCTGGTGACTGCAATCATTTGTAATGATTGTATGAGTTTAGACGAGAAACTTTGAAGATTCTCCAAATTCTTCGAACGCCTGATAGGGAGAGGTGCTCTCTCAGCGATTTAAAGAATGGTGACAGATCAACAACATTGACTTATGAGAAGGGATCGACTTTATGAATGACTTTCGCTACAACTATTCTGTATGTGTAATGTTCGGAACCGATATTATGGGGTCCCGAATTATACATTTACCCCTGTGCCACCGTGGATGAAGAGTAGACTTTTGAATATTGTATATACACGTGTGTAAGTGAGTCACGTCTAAATCGTTCTCCTGAGTAGTTAAGGGTGCTAAAGAGCTAAGGGAGAGCAAGGGAATTTAATGAGTTAAGGGGTGGAAAAGAGAAGCTAATGGAGAACAAGAAGAGTTAAAAAGGAGGAGCAAGTACGGTTAAGGAAAAGTAAAGGGTGCATTGGAAGCTAAAGAGATAAGGGGAGTAGGAAGAGCTAAAAAGCGAAGGAGTGAGCAAAAGGAGCTAAAGGAGAACGAAGGAAGTTAAAGCTAAAGGAAGAAAGGGTGTCTAACGGAGAACAAGGAAAGCTAAAAGATCTGAGGGGAAGCAGGGGAAGCAAGGGGGCACGATTTCCTCCCATTAACGCTTTTCTAGCTTTTCTCAAACTATGGCACCAATTCCGATATTCACATCGACTCTGGCTGCTAGAATTACCTGTAATATTTATCCGCAAATATTAAATTTGCTTAATGTTCTTTTTTTTTAATTAAGTCACAAAACTAATTTTCTGCATCACACGACAGATAAAAGGCTTCTATCTGCAAATTAATGAACAAATTATCCCGTTTATCTCGACTCCGATAAGACGTTACATCTTTGCCAGTTTAGTCCCCAACAATCAATTGTCGAAAGTGCGAAATGTTATTATCGTGTGTTTGCACTTTTCTTTGCCTTTTTTTTTAAATAAATTTTTTACACGAATCTGATATAAAATAATTAATTTTTTTTCAAATACAGGCGCAAGAAGAAATAAGTTTCCTGCATTATTTGCAAGAGGGTAATTGGTATTTATCGCTGATTAACGATCATCATAATCAAGTTTCCATCGCTTTTCATCTGAGTTTGGCACGTAAGTTTTAAAAAATAAACGAATAAAACTGTATACGGTTCAACCTGCCAACGACGGCCACTGACGCAAACAAAAATGGCCGCCGTATAGAAGCTTCCGTATAAGGATGAGCAAGGGGAGGTAAAGGAGGAAAAAGGAAGGAAGCTAAAGGAGATAAGGGGGAGAAATGGGAGCTTAAGAGCTGTGGGGAGAGCGAGGGGAGCTAAAGATGGGCTAAAGGAGCTAAGGGAAGGGGTAAGAGGAGCTTAAAGAGGAGGCTAAATGGCTAAGGAGAGAAAAGGAGCTAGGGGCTGAGTGATTAGAAAGGGGGCTAATGGGCTAGGGGGAAGCTAAAAGAGGAATAGAAAGCTAAAGGGTCTAAGGGGGAGGGGCTAGGGGAGCGAAAGAGGCTAGGGGGGCTGGGGGAGCGAAAGAGGCTAAGGGGAGAGGGGAGCTAGGGGAGAGGAGGAAGCTAAAGGATCTGAGGGGGAGAAAGGGGATCTAAAAGGGGAGAAGCTAAAGGAACTAAGGGGGAGCAAGGGGAGCCCAGACCCCTCCTAGTAATACTTTACTGTACTTGCTCTGAGGAGGACATTATTTGGAAGCAAATCACTTAGAAACGTGTCCGCCGTATAGAGGTGGCCGTAATAGCAGGTTCGACCGTATATAAATCCCGTACCGAACGGTATTATCGATATAATTATAATTAAATTTTAAGCCGGTGATTTTTAATAAAATATAATATTCGTCTTTCTAACAAAAGAAAAATAATTTAGGTGATGTCTGCCAATTAAGGCTTCATTCATACTCCTTAATAAACTAAAGAATTAAAAATAAAAATAAAAAAACACGAAATTCGCTTGGCAAAATTTCCATATTTAGTATTAATTAATTAAAGCAAGACAGAGGAAGAAGAAAAAAAAAATAAGACACAATAGACACAATTTACTAAATTGATTTTGCTTAGAGGCAAGCCGATATATCAAAAAGTAAAGAATTCTTCTTGAAAAAAAAAGGGGAGAGGAGATAGAATATTTATAAACACGTGAAAGAAATCGCAGTATTTCTCATAAATTCCTTTTGCCAAGTAAATACATCGCATTTATCACGGTGTCACATTTTCAAATTCTTACATCTAAAGCTGACAAATCGATCAAAATATATTGCTGTCACTTTAATGGCAAGCATCTAGGATCCACTCGGATAAGGAAGAGAAAAGAAAAGAAAAAAAAAAAAAATCTCCCCTCCTCCCTCTCCGTTCCTGTTCATCTCTGCAACATTTCTCAATAATGAGAATACATTTCTCCTTCTGTAATTTAAGTACAGACAATCGAGAAGACGTTTAACTCTTTAAATGTTAAGAAAATTTTTACACTTTTCTCTATCGAACATCTCTCTATTAAGTCTCTCAGCTCGGATCAATCTCCATTTAGCACCTGTGGGTAACCACAAATTTATCTGCTAAGTAACTAAATGTGTTCTTTTATGTGGTAACAGAGCATTTTGTTTTAAAGCATTTATCGTTATAGATAACACTACCTTATCTGTGTTTTACTATTGAATCCTCTCTCTCTCTCTCTTTCTCCCTCTTCCTTATCTTATCTTAGAATTAATTACATAAATTAAATTTTTCCACTTTGATGCGGTTTAAATTACAATTTTCTTTCTGAAGAACCTTTCCCATTCTGTGATCTTTAGTTGCTCTGAAATCGCCATTCCGAAAATATGTCCAAGTATAAAAGCTATATATATAGATATAAATATACTATTTTATGAAAGAATATATATATATATATATTTATTTATTTTTTTCAGTTTAAAAGTGATTTCGAAAGGAAACTATCAGTGCCAAGTTTCGCTTTGAAATCTTTTCCAATAAATTCCACAATGTGATTTAACCCGTTACCATCTTTCAGTTGCAGATGTTGCACAAGTCGTCTGTTTTATAAACGTACAATTTTTCAGGAAGGGATTTCAACTGGTAATATCTATCTTACCTCCTTAGATTTTTGGTTACACTTTCAAACAAGATAAAGAGAGTAGACGATATAAAAACAATGCCCCCTTCTTCTTCTTCTTCTTCTTCTTCTTGTTCACCCCCCCCCCGCATTATCATCCGTAATCTTTATAAGGTGTGAAATATTCAGGAATCTTAGCTGCAATGTGGAAGATAGGATTATGAGGTTGCATTTTTCTTATCTTTGTGATTGATGGAAGATGCTGAAGATGTGGAAGGAAAGAGGAACAATGGGTAAGACGAGCTCGGTTGGTGGATTATAAAACCTTGTAAATCCACCTATTTATTTATATTGAAGAGACAAGACGTTAAATTCCGCAGATTTAAACGCTCTTTTATGTCGTTGTCATCTTTAAAAAACTGGCATCTATACATTATATATATATATAAGATATAAATTTAATTACTGTTTATTTTTATTCAAATTTTCGTAAAATAAATGGAGTCTATTCTCTCTTAAATTACTATTTTTATTTATAAAATGAATACATAATTAACCATTAAACTTGTTTAGTGGATAATTATTTATTCTCTTCGTTAAATTGTCTCAACTCTTAAGATTTGCAATCATTTCGGAATGTTTAATAATTGGTTTCGTGCATGCAATGCCGGCAAGTAAAGAATGTAGACTTTAATGGGAAGACATTAAACTATTCTTCCATAATATTCCAATGCTGCTCGGGGGTAATTTGTAGAAGAGATCAAGACAGGTGACAAGTATATCCAGAGCAATCATATTCTTACGTGATCGGTAACTAAAGCCATTATCGTCAGCAACACTCGAAGGGCAATGCAATGAAAAGGCACTGAAGATAAGCTTAGATTGATGATCATATGGACATCAGACACTGTAGATAGGTGTGGCTACTGCTGATGTTCTTATTTGTTTCTGTTACAGGAGAGGTGCCGACCACCTGTCCCTCTAATTGTCATCAGCACGGCAACTGTCATCTTGGAAAATGTCACTGTTTCCCTGGTTATATAGGACCAGACTGTGCAGACAGTAAGTAATTTTCTTCTCTCTCTTTTTTTTTAAAAAACACGTGTTGTAATTAAATTTAATTATGTTCTAATCAATGTAAAGGTATTGTGGAAGTTGGAGAAAGCTGAAATTTTCAGAAATTAATATATAAAATCTCTAGAAAACGTTAACAAATTTACTTACATTACGATTGGAGATCAATAGAGAACAAGTTAATCATTCCTATTCTGGTATTGTAATCACCATGATTACATAAATTCTTTTACCATCTTACAACATCTGTGCTACTCTCATATCAAACAGTAATTAGCCTTATCAGATAACATTTCCAGACCAATTTTATATTCTTCTCCTATAAAAATCTTTCAGTTTATAACAGTGAAAAAAAAATGTATAAACTTTAAAATTTATATACTTTTCCGTACATAAGTATCTCCTCGCGGTTGTATGTTTTTTTTTTCTCCTCCCCTCTCGTCCATATTAAATATTTTATAAATATTTCTACTCGATGTTTCTGAATAATTTAATTTCTAATCTAAATATTGGTAGAGAGAACGTGTTTAAAATTGGAAGTATTGTTTTTGGCTTCCTCGTTTTAAATTTATAAAGAAATTAATAAGAATAAACGTAATTAAATCGTACGGAATAGAGTAGATGATGTCAACCAATGATTAAGTTTAGAAGGGGGGTGGAAAAAATCTTAGTTAAGTAATTAACTAATTAAAATAAATTAAGAAAAAGTGGTTAACATATCGAAAGGAATTTATCGAAACTAAACAAAATAAAACCACGATTTAAAAACCCGAAAGAAATTAAGAAAGTACAGAGAACAAATTTAATTATCAACGTAGCATAATTAAAAATTTACCCCATCCCCTTCTCTTCTTTTTTTTTTGTTTTAAAGGGTATAAAATGCAAATTTAATTAATTAAAACAAATTTCTGTGTTTAGGCGTATGTCCAGTTTTGTGTAGCGGACACGGGAAATACATTCAAGGAACCTGCAAGTGCGAAACGGGTTGGAAAGGACCCGAATGTAACATACAATCTAACGAATGCGAAGTGCCAGATTGCCTAAATCACGGCAGGTGCGTGGACGGTTTGTGCCTTTGTCAACCAGGTTATAAAGGTATCAATTGCGAACAAGGTAAGATGAATAAATTGTTCTTTTTGGTAGGAATAAGTAGGAAAAATCTATTGGCTTAACCAATCGTGCAATCGGTTTTATCTTTTTTTTTTTTTTTTTGTTTTGTTTTCTCACCGCAGTGGACTGTGTTGATCCATTGTGTTCGGGTCACGGAGTCTGCGTAAAAGGAAAGTGTTGGTGCAAAACTGGATGGATTGGGAAAAACTGCAGCGAAGCCGATGACAGACTTAGCAGATGTTTCTCTGACTGTAGTCAACATGGCGTTTATGATCTAGAAGTAGAAAGATGTGTTTGTTTCGAACATTGGACAGGTTCCGACTGTTCAAAAGGTCAGAACGAAAGAAAAAAAAAGGAACAATTTTTAATTATTAAAAATCTTAAAAGAGATTAATCTTTAATCAAATCTATCAAAACTGATTAAATTAATTCGTAAAGTTCTCATTGAAGACAATAGAATGCTTTATAAATAAGTTAATTTAGATTATTTTTTTTTAATTTTTCTACGGGTTTAAAAAATTGAGATGGGTTAATAAGTGAATTATTATTATTTTTTTTTTAATTCAAAAATTAAAAACAAAATAGGATTTTTGAATTTTTTTTTCTGTCCCTCTCTCTCTTCTCTTTTCGAGTTCTCTCTCTCTCTTTGGAATTAATAGAATTACTCAAATCCCATTCAATTTTCTTCGGAGAATGTTTTCGGGTGTTAGAATGATTCAGAAAATGAAGTAAAGTAGAAAAAAATTACATTAAAACCAAAGCTAATGAAGTGTTGTAATTGAACACGCGCTCGAAAGTAGACGTTAATTAACTCACACCTTTCTTTTTTTTACTAACTTTAAAGATTAACTCTTGCATTTTTACCTTAAAAACTCCAATTAAAATGCACTGAGAAGATAATATAATATTTTTTTTCTCTCTTTCCTCCTTTAAGAGAAATGCCAAGGCATTTCTTGTTTTGATAATGACGATTCTTTCCTCCTTTCGATTAGTCAAATGCATTAGCCATATGAATCACAAAAAGGGAAGACAAGTAATAATTTTAAACAGTATCAATCCTTTTTTGGTTTACTAAAAATTCCTAATTTAGTGAGGGATGTTTTAGATTTGCATAATATCCTTTTCCCTTTCTTTCCGTTCTTAATATAGAGCTTTGCACTTTTGTCACTGAAATGCTCAATGAGTCATCTATAAATAATTGAAGAAACACAGGGCAGTGCTTTCGTTTTTTTTTTTTTTTTTTGCAAACTTTCCTGGCTGCCAATGAATCAGCCGAGGCAACATAATGCATTAAAAACTCAATTTGGTGGGCACAAAAATTAGTTTTATAACCACGATGTGATGACTCAACCGATAATAAATCATTGGGATGAGACGTCATTTCTGTGACACGTGCCAACCGGTTACAGTAGTTAATTTAAAATCCGGACATTAATATAGACACAGCCACACAAAAGTAGTTAAATCTCTTATATAATCACACAAAAGTAGTTAAATCTCTCATACACTCACACAAAACTAGTTAAATCTCTCATACAATCACACAAATCTAGTCATACAGTCAAACCTCTCATACAGTCACAAATACAAAAAAAATGGCCGTAATACAGAGGTTATACGCATTTTAAAAAGGACACCGTTAAGAGTTGTCAACCTTTGGGAAGTTCGAACCGCCCTTAAATTTCTCAATCTTTTGGTAAAAATCCGCGACGAAATCAATAAAGTTACAATTAAATACACGAACGGAAATTATTGTTAATTAATTTTTTTTTTCCTCGCGGCCAAGTAAAGTCAACACAATTATTTTAAAAGTAAAGAAAGCAAACATACGACAGAGAAGATATTGTTAATGATTGGGAGTAAATCAAAAAGTGAAAGCTGCCCCAAGTCACAAAACTAGTGAATTTATTTTGTCGAAAACATGATGGAAAATTTTCTCCTTCCATCTTTTACTTCTCTTCATGATTTTATTAATTTATCATTGTGTTTATCTTAAAATAATTATGGAAATTCATATCTCGTCTCATTTACTTTCATTAGTTTTCACGTTTTATTAATTGGCCACCGAAAATTGGTTATATTTATTAAGTCAAGTTAAGAAACGTCCTTTTGACTTTCGCTTCGTTTACTTTCTTCTTGTTTAACCTTTGATAACTTCTTACAATTTAATTCCCTCAAAACTTTACTACGAATTTAATAAGGTGAGGAAACAATAAGACCTCTTATTACATTCGCTTCCCCCTCTTCTAAATTTACTTCTAATTAAAATTGGATAAAAAAAAAACTTTTATAATCTTGCTTTTATTTGTAAAACTTTTAATGGATTGTTTGTTATCGACTTCATTAATTGTTCGGAGAAGTTTTATATTGTTGGCTTTAACAATTGATCTCTTACTAATCGATTGATTGAACGACTGACGAACCGTTACTAATCGATTCGAAGGACTAATCTACTGATTTAGTGACCGTTTGATGGATTATAATCGATTCATTCGATTTGTTTTACTCGTAAATTCGGTTAAAAACAATGACAACAAAAGAAAATACAGGATATTTAAGGGGTTTTTTTTTGGACCTTCCTGTAGAAGAAACTATCGTGCATATTTGGCATATTTAATTGTTGAACTCTTCTACCAACGAAACAGCAATGCCAGCTCGGCAATTAAAGAATCTCGGTGCTTAAAAGGTCCGAAACGCGTTAGAAAGCAGCGCCTAACTTCCCTCTAGCGGCCAAATTTTGAAATAAAAATATTTTCCCGAAAAGCGAATGCGAATACTCGGGATAGTGTGTATAATAAGTTCAAATTTAGTTTAGATTTGTTCAATTCTTTCTATACAGAGTTCTGGACACTTACTCTTTACATGTAAATTAAATATAATACAGTAAACAGTTAAATTTCTTTGTTTAAAAGGAAAACAAATCATTCAATAACTGATAAACTATTCCTCATTCAGACTTTACCCAATCGATAAGCGATTAAAGTATTCGCTCCCAGTAAGAGAGAATAGGATTTTTCTAAAATAATCGATTACTAGGCAACCGATAATAAAACATACAATAAATCGATTACTCGACAATCGATTACAAATACAATTGATCGATTATTCGATAACCGATAACAAAAAATGCAATTAATCGATTTAATCGATTACTCAACAATCGATAACAGAGAAAATTAATCGATTCCATTTAACCGATTCCAATCGATTAATTGTTTAATTGTCTGTAAGAGAAATTATTTAATTAATTGTGTAACAAATACTGTACTCAATCGGTTTATTATTTTTCTAAAAATTATATACATTTAAATTAAAATATCAGGAAAATTTAATTAGAAAAGTGGTTTCTGTTACACACAACCGACGTCATTCTAAACCATTCATCTACATTGCAGACAATTAGTAAAATCTTGCCTTTAACAAACTTGCAATTTCACCATTGGAATTTGTTTTGGACTTAATTATTGTTATATGGTAACAATACTTGCTTCAAAATCGTCATAATTAATCAAGTTTAGCTCGACTAAATTATCACTAATGACACGAAAATCCCTTCGCTAAATGTCTGTCATTATTTCGAATCTTCGCTCCTTTTCTTTTACTTATAAGTCTTTAAAGGTTTCTTACTTTCCTACTTGTTATGGGGGGTTTTAAAGTTTAACCCCCAGTTTTTATCCCATAATTTCTCTGTTATATTCTAATCCAAAATACTCGCAGAGGGGAGAAAATCCAAAAAAAAAACTGATAAAGTCGAACTTTGACCCCCGTTTTCCATACATTCTATATGTTACAGTCTAATGGGGAAGTCAAGTTATGATCCCTTTGTTTTTTTTTGGCTATTTGAACGTGTTTACGCCTCGAAACCCCCCAAAAAACCTTCGAAATTTGTGTGTCAACGTATATTTTGCATTGTATCTCAGGATCGGATAAGCCAAAAATTTCGAAATTTGTCAGGGTTATTTCTGTTTATAAGACATTGATGCAGTTAAATTTTGGTGATTAAAGGTCAACTAGGTAGGGAGATATAGGGGAAAATACGTCTATAATCAATGGGGTCTGACATTTCTATCTTCAAAAATAAGCACGATAATTTTTTTTTTTGTAATTATACACGCTTAAAATTTAAAAAAAAAGAAATTAGATTTAAAAATCGAACAAATAAGTGAAGAAATCAAAGATTTATTTACTTGAAAAATAATAATAAATAAATCTGTTCAATTTTGAGAGTGCTTTTGAAAGAATTTTTCACAGTGAGATGTTGTAAATGATTTACATTCAGTAATATTTTATTGGTTCGCTTGTTGATAGATCACCGAAAATAAGGGGGAGGGAGGGAGGGAAAATATATTTTCTTTTATTTATTTCTTTAAAATGAAAAAGATTGATCCTTTCGAAAAGTTAATATAAATTTTTATAACCGGCTCCCATTCAATTAGAAATTCTAGAGTCAATACGCGTGCAGCTTATCGATTTTTTAAGATGCTACCTTTATTATTTATAAGTATTTTTTTTAACAGCTAAGTGCAGTTTGGATTGTGGAAAACACGGAAAATGTGAAGAAGGTAGGTGTTCCTGCGAACAGGGTTGGACCGGAACCAAGTGTGACGAAAAACTATGCGATCAGAGGTGTTTAGATCACGGACAATGCAACAACGGAACGTGCATATGTATAGAGGGTTGGACAGGAAAGTACTGTACACTGGGTCAGTATTTATGCATTGTTTATCATTAGGTTATATCGGAATTTATCAATATTTTCCGTGATTTTTTTTTTATATATTTAAGAGAGCTGTCCGAACGGTTGCAGCAATCGGGGACAATGCCTTCCTACCGGTTGCACATGCCAAGCCGATTTTGGTGGAAAGGACTGTAGCATCCGACTAGAAACAAACTGTGCCGACGACAAGGATAACGACGGAGGTAAAGAAAAGGGGGACGAACGTATAAAAGGGGGGAGAGAGAGAGAGATATGCATCTTTAATTTGTAATATAAAACTGGTGTTTGTGTAGATGGCCTTGTGGATTGTGCTGATAGCGAGTGCTGCAACAACGCTCAGTGTCAGGACAGTTTGATGTGCGTTTCTTCTCCCGATCCTCTGGACATTCTCTTGAGAAAACAACCTCCAGCAGTGACAGCGTCCTTCTATCATAAAATGAAATTCCTGATTGAAGAAGATAGCGTGCAGAGTTATTCGCACAGAGATGAATATTCCGAGAGGTGAGAGGAAATTCTGTGTCGGAATATAATAATAAAAAAAAAAAGATTGACGAAATTTTTCTATCATATTAAATTTATTTTTAATATCTTTATTTTACTTATTTAAATCAAAAATAATAATAAATAAAAAAAGATTTATGTGTGTATATTTATGTGTAAGACAATATGTTTTTGTCTGTGTTCGTGTCGTCCTTTCTCACACGGAGTATGTCTTATGTCTTGTGTTTATGTGTATAAAACAACTTATATAATTATAAAATAATAGTAAATTCTTGTTTAAATTTATTAATAATTTTATAATAATAATAATAATTTAATTGTGTATTTTATTAATTTAAAAGGAAACGATCTTTAAGAAAGGAAATACAATAGAAATTCGAATTAAATCACTTTTACAACTTAATAAAATTCTTAAAATAGTAACGGAGCGAGGATTTTAAACTTAATATAAATTCATTCATAAATCAGAAATGTGTAAATCCAATAAAAATCATACTTTCATATTCGGAATTTATAGAGAGAATGCGAAAATCCTCCGTTAAACGTCCGTCGGTTTAGACGATATTAAAGCACATTAAGACGTCCTTTCACTCTTATTATTACATCCGGACATTAGATTATTAACTGTTCATCTGTTAAACCTAGTAGTACGCATTTAGGTAGTAAAATTTTACATCCCTATGCCTATAATGGGTTTATTGTCAGTCTTGCGATAGTAAAAAGTTTTATGGCAACTCAAACCGACTGCAAAGGTTATAAAATTAAATGCAGAAATGCTTAAAAGAAAGAAGAAAACACGGAAAACTCGTTGGTTTAAGGATAAACTTGTATTATTTACCGAAACAAAGTGATTGAATCGAAATCGTCTTCCTAATAGCTAACAATAGAAAACTTGGATATTTTCTTTTTAAATAAATCTGAGAATATATGGTTTAAAAACTATAATAAAATGCCTAATTTAATCTTAAATCAGCTTAAAATTAACTGTTTTATCTCTTTTTTCGCTTAATAACTAACACCCCCCTCTTATACTTGTTAGTGTATAGAAATCATCCCCTAATTACTAACCATAGAAAACTAGGACTTTTTAAAAGAAACACGAGAAAATACTATGCTAAATCAGTTTAAAATCAACTCATTGTGTCTCTTTTCGTTTAATAAATATACCCTTTAACTTATCGAAATCATCCTGCTAATTTTTAACAATAGAAAACTAGGATATTTTTTAAAACAAATATGAGAAAATATGATGTAGAAAGTATATTAAAATACTTTAATTTAATCTTTTGTGTCTCCTTTCTCTTAAGAAATTAATAATACTCTCCCCTCCTCTATTTGTGTTTTGTAAGTGTTCTAATTGTGACGTAGCTTATATTAATTTATATGTCTGAATGATTTATAGACAAAGCTACATTTGACTAAATTCAAACTTACTTCAAATTGATATTACTTAATTTATAAATATCACATATTCGATTTAAGTCAACACGCCCGTTAAATCTCCAGAGTAAAGACTTAACATATCGAACTGATGAGAAGTGTCTCTAGGCGTGTTAATTAATATCTTTATTTAGTTAGTATTAATTATATCTGTCTTGATCTAAGTTAGACTGATTAAATCCTGATTGGATAGGAGTTTGGTCAGTCCCTTTGCACCATATAAACATTCGAAATTTCTACCACTCCCTCGTATACATAAAATAAGTCAAAAGTAGTTTTGTCTTATATTTAAGTGTATGTACTGTACCTAAGAACACGAATTGATGTTAAACAATTTTGTCCTTGCCTCTCTCTCTGTCTTTGTGCCTTTTGGGCCGTTGCAGCCAATTTTGGAGCGCCTTTGTCAAAAGGTAAGTACAACAGCTTAATCGTGTATTTTGGCTGCTTGGCCTGAAACAACAACAAAAAAAAATCACACTGCATTTTATAATTACTACGCTTAAACCCTGCTTGGTTGTGTTTTTTGAGCTCCGTGTGAAGTGTATAGTTCTTCCTACCCGAAGTACAATCCTAGTTTGTGAAGTTCCTGGTAACTGCTCTATTAATTTACGAGCAGTTGTCAGTGAATGATGCTGTAAATGATGTCCAGAAAATTAAAAAAATAAATAAATTCTCTTTGTAGTGGATGTGTCATGCAGACTGCAACTAAGACCTGAATTCCATTATGTGTTTTCCTTTTGTGTTAACGGTGGTAGTCTGCATATTACATACTTTTGTAGTTTCCTACTTTCCTCTTCTTCATAGGATTGGATGCTAGTAGTTACGATAAACGAAGAATATAGAGATGCATGCTGGCACTATTCACATAAACATGGAATGTTGTTGTTATTATTATTATGCATATGATTCACTATATTGCTTTCTTCACAGCATCAAACTTTCCCCTTCATATATATATATATATATATATATATAAATATATATTCACTGGAACAAGGAAAAGGCATGCATGGAGCTGTCGCTGTCACGTTTGCATGTTTTACTGTTCCTCTTTACTGTTCTATCTATTTTTATTAAAATATTTTAATGTTAAAATATAAAAAAAAGACGTTAAATTACTTTAAAAAAAAAGACAAAAAAAATGTCATTGGATGATCTTATTCCATTGCAATCTAGTGGAATTTCATACAAAACCCTGTTGTTCTTTCAGTCGTGTGGCTGTCTTACGTGGCCAAGTGTTGAACCGTGAAGGAAGTGGGATTATGGGTATTAGAGTTAGCGTTGCCACAGATCCTCAATTCGGCTTTACTCTGACAAGAGCAGATGGGTGGTAAATATTTTTCCTTTTTTTTTTTCTTTATCCTTCTCTAAATTGAACTAATATTATAAACTTTGCAATTTCATCTCTCTCGCGGCACCACGACATGGTATAACAGGCGATTCTCGCTACCCCCCGAGAATTTCCTTATCGATTTTTAAGTGTAAACTCTTTAAAAGTTCCTTTCGGAGGGGGGGATGGCGATAAAATAGCCAAGTTCAATCGGCGTATAATTTTTAATTAGAAAGTGTTCTTGGTGGAACCAGAAGGCAACACCTCACTCTTGAGAATCACTTCTCCCGAGCAGGTGTTTGGATTCTGTTAGAAAACTTAACAGTTATTTAAATTTAATTTAAATCTTAAACCGTGTTATAATTTAAATTATGGCTTATTTTCTTTTTTTTTTTCCTCTGAAGCAAAATTTTTGATATTTTTGCAGACGAAACTTCTACATTTTCTTGATTTTATTTTTAACTTTTCCGCGTGTTGAAAACTCTTTTACTGAAAACCAATTAAAATCCGATTAAAGTTACACTTCATAATTAACTCTTTGGATGCCTGAGGGGAATCTTTTTATTCTAGAATTATCTAGAACATTTTTAAAAAAAAGACCACTCTCCTACACACTTCTAATTAATCGTTATCAAGAATTTTTGCATAATTACAGCAATAAACATGCCAAAGACATAAAATAAAATATTCTTTCGATACTTTTATTAAAATTCGCGTATAGAAAAGTTTAATAGTTTTTTGAAACTCGGTAAATTTATTTATTTTCTAACGATACTTTTTTTAAAAAAATAATAATAATAATTTAAATTTAATGCTCCGATCTTCTTTTAAACTGGACTTTTTACACGTTCTCCTTTCTTTTCTATTGTCTTAAGAGGTAAAAAAAAATGTGAAAGGGGTACATAAATTAAGTATTTTTATCTTCAAGGTTTGACATATTAGTCAACGGAGGTGGAGCGGTAACGCTACAATTCCAACGCAACCCCTTTCATCCTATCAAACGTACCATCCTGGCACCATGGAACGAAATCGTAGTTATGAAGCCAGTAGTTATGTCTGCTCTCGTGGATACCCTACCCGAGAGCGAAAAAAATGACCATCAGGATCCATGCCACGTGCACGATTACGACACCATGAAACCCATCGTATACCAGACTTGGAAGCCAGTGTCTCAGGGTGGATGTACGGATTACAGTGCCATACTGGCAGAAACTCAGGTTGGTCAAGAATCTACGAGATTTCAGAGCATTTTTCTTAACTTTTAAATTACCTTTCGAACCCTTCAGGTGCTTCAAGAAACTCTATCCATACCCGGTTCGGATCTTCATCTAGTTTACCACAGCAGCCACGCTCAGGGCTATCTTTCTACTATCCATCTTCAGTTGACCTCTTCGACTATCCCCAAATCTCTTAAATTAGTTTACTTAAAGATAATCGTCGATGGGATCCTCTTCGAAAAGGTTTTCGAAGCCGATCCCGATATAAAATACACTTACGCGTGGAATAAAAGAAATATATACAAGCAAAAAGTCTACGGATTGACAACGGCTAAAGGTACGCCATTTTTTTTTCTCATAAATTCGCGCATCGCTGTATTCTATTTTATCTTAAGCATATCAATGCGCAGTTTACGTGGCCATTAGAGTTTTCATAACTCTTTCTATCACATAATCGGCGCAATCGAATATTTATAACTAAAGCCATAAATCAATTGCGCAGCGTGTACATGTTCCCGAGCACGCTAAGAAGGAATTAATTAGTCTACTTTCTATGCCATAAATTATATTATGAATAGGATTTAAGCGAGATAAGAGAGTAAAGAATGGAAATTGGGGACATTAAAAATGCACGTTGCAAACACCAGAACGTATTTAAACTCTGGTATCCGTACTTACGACGTAACTGAAGGTTAATTATATATAATTGCGGTTTTGAAAGGCGTATAAGAAATAGTTATTAAATAATTTACTGGTTTTTTCAGTGCGGTCAAACAGGAAGGAAGACAACCCCAGCTACCTGCAAACCATCAGTTCAATCTGTTGTAAACCATTTCCCAGTGCACAGAATGCCCAGAAACAGCTAGTCATTTAGTTCCAGCGGGTGATATAATGATACCACAGCACACTTTACTGTATTGAGTCAACAGTTCTTTCTTTACTATAAGATGGCTTGTTAGTCAATCGATTTTGCCATGTTTGTATGTTTTTTTCCTAAAGAAATGCTTCATTTTTAACTTCAAAATCACCTGCATTTGTACCGTAACACGTTTCAATTTAATATCTTTTGACTCGGCTTCTATGTTTTCCATAACAATAACAAAAAAAAAGTATTGTTTCCCCCGCTTTAACGCCACTGAAACGTTATTAAAACATAGATTTTTTTTATACATTAATTCAAAGGATGAAAGGCATTTTGGATGAAGGGGTGAAGGCAAAAATGCTTTCACCCCTTCACCCCTAAAATCTTTACCACCCAAAAAATTGAATTATTTAACTTAAAAAACGTTATATTCAACTATTAACTATCACTTTTTCATTTGTAAAAGTCGAAACGATTAAGAATAATTTAACATTTTCAGCATGTCATTCTTGTTAATGACTTTTTCTGATTGAATTCTAACGAGTTTTAGAAGTAAGAAATTAGATGAAATAAGTAAAAAAAAAAACCGCTTTTAACGACCCACTTTAATTTAAATGTTTATATATTTTAAAGTATTCGTTGGGTATGAATATCTGGAATGTGAAAAGGTGGTGTGGACGGCTCACGTGACTACATTACGTGGTTACGATATGGATATCTCGGAACTCGGAGGATGGAATTTGGATATACATCACAGATATAACTTTCACGAAGGTAAGTGTATATATGATTCAATATTTTATGTGTTCGGAAGAAAAATAAACACGATATATTTTATTAAAATACACGATCGAAAGGATGGTGTACCGGTAATCGTTACCACGCGTTACAACGGGGTACGAGGTGTTTACAGGAACGTTACGTAAGGTGATGTTATCTGTTCAATTCCTTAGTAAGTTCAACGATGGTGGAGATGAGTTATGTAATTTTAGGGGGATGGAGACAGCATTAATGAGCTTTACAAACGGGTGGTATGCGATAGCATTATGGAGAGTTACAGGGTGGTGGTACGTGAGACAGTGTTACGGAGCGTTACAGGTAGGTGCCACAGAGCTACGGAGCATTACAGAACAGTGGTACGTGAGACAGTGTTACGGAGCGTTACAGGTAGGTCCCACAGNTCAATTAGAAATTCTAGAGTCAATACGCGTGCAGCTTATCGATTTTTTAAGATGCTACCTTTATTATTTATAAGTATTTTTTTTAACAGCTAAGTGCAGTTTGGATTGTGGAAAACACGGAAAATGTGAAGAAGGTAGGTGTTCCTGCGAACAGGGTTGGACCGGAACCAAGTGTGACGAAAAACTATGCGATCAGAGGTGTTTAGATCACGGACAATGCAACAACGGAACGTGCATATGTATAGAGGGTTGGACAGGAAAGTACTGTACACTGGGTCAGTATTTATGCATTGTTTATCATTAGGTTATATCGGAATTTATCAATATTTTCCGTGATTTTTTTTTTATATATTTAAGAGAGCTGTCCGAACGGTTGCAGCAATCGGGGACAATGCCTTCCTACCGGTTGCACATGCCAAGCCGATTTTGGTGGAAAGGACTGTAGCATCCGACTAGAAACAAACTGTGCCGACGACAAGGATAACGACGGAGGTAAAGAAAAGGGGGACGAACGTATAAAAGGGGGGAGAGAGAGAGAGATATGCATCTTTAATTTGTAATATAAAACTGGTGTTTGTGTAGATGGCCTTGTGGATTGTGCTGATAGCGAGTGCTGCAACAACGCTCAGTGTCAGGACAGTTTGATGTGCGTTTCTTCTCCCGATCCTCTGGACATTCTCTTGAGAAAACAACCTCCAGCAGTGACAGCGTCCTTCTATCATAAAATGAAATTCCTGATTGAAGAAGATAGCGTGCAGAGTTATTCGCACAGAGATGAATATTCCGAGAGGTGAGAGGAAATTCTGTGTCGGAATATAATAATAAAAAAAAAAAGATTGACGAAATTTTTCTATCATATTAAATTTATTTTTAATATCTTTATTTTACTTATTTAAATCAAAAATAATAATAAATAAAAAAAGATTTATGTGTGTATATTTATGTGTAAGACAATATGTTTTTGTCTGTGTTCGTGTCGTCCTTTCTCACACGGAGTATGTCTTATGTCTTGTGTTTATGTGTATAAAACAACTTATATAATTATAAAATAATAGTAAATTCTTGTTTAAATTTATTAATAATTTTATAATAATAATAATCATTTATTTTAAGGAAAGATGGCGCCGTGAAAAGAGCAAGATGGTCGAACACATGAATGTTTCGTGGACTGGGAAAGTCTAATACCATACAATTCGTCGATTTTATAAAGTTATGTGTTTATAAGTTAAGAATGGCATTTCTCTTCGGGCGGTACTTATCGGTGACCGTAAAATACGGTGAATTGTTACGAGAATGTACTTTTGGAAATTTTAAATATTGTAATTGCATCAATTTTACGAATGGTTCAAGTTTCTACCCGAAGAATGTATCTTGGTTTGGTTTTAGATTTCTGTCGGTCAGTGCACGAAATCGATTGAGATGGTCCCGATGCGCCGCTCATCAAACTTTTTCTAGAAGGGATTCCAGGGACGAGCACGTTGCCGTTTTGATCAGACCCAGAGAAAATGGAAGACTAAAGGGAACTAGAATTAAATTCAAAGAAACTACGCATAATGTTAGGAAAAGAATTACGAAAATTGTAAGTGCCACGACTGATTATTAAACCGAGACACTCCTTATGAATCNAAAAAAAAAACTTTTATAATCTTGCTTTTATTTGTAAAACTTTTAATGGATTGTTTGTTATCGACTTCATTAATTGTTCGGAGAAGTTTTATATTGTTGGCTTTAACAATTGATCTCTTACTAATCGATTGATTGAACGACTGACGAACCGTTACTAATCGATTCGAAGGACTAATCTACTGATTTAGTGACCGTTTGATGGATTATAATCGATTCATTCGATTTGTTTTACTCGTAAATTCGGTTAAAAACAATGACAACAAAAGAAAATACAGGATATTTAAGGGTTTTTTTTTGGACCTTCCTGTAGAAGAAACTATCGTGCATATTTGGCATATTTAATTGTTGAACTCTTCTACCAACGAAACAGCAATGCCAGCTCGGCAATTAAAGAATCTCGGTGCTTAAAAGGTCCGAAACGCGTTAGAAAGCAGCGCCTAACTTCCCTCTAGCGGCCAAATTTTGAAATAAAAATATTTTCCCGAAAAGCGAATGCGAATACTCGGGATAGTGTGTATAATAAGTTCAAATTTAGTTTAGATTTGTTCAATTCTTTCTATACAGAGTTCTGGACACTTACTCTTTACATGTAAATTAAATATAATACAGTAAACAGTTAAATTTCTTTGTTTAAAAGGAAAACAAATCATTCAATAACTGATAAACTATTCCTCATTCAGACTTTACCCAATCGATAAGCGATTAAAGTATTCGCTCCCAGTAAGAGAGAATAGGATTTTTCTAAAATAATCGATTACTAGGCAACCGATAATAAAACATACAATAAATCGATTACTCGACAATCGATTACAAATACAATTGATCGATTATTCGATAACCGATAACAAAAAATGCAATTAATCGATTTAATCGATTACTCAACAATCGATAACAGAGAAAATTAATCGATTCCATTTAACCGATTCCAATCGATTAATTGTTTAATTGTCTGTAAGAGAAATTATTTAATTAATTGTGTAACAAATACTGTACTCAATCGGTTTATTATTTTTCTAAAAATTATATACATTTAAATTAAAATATCAGGAAAATTTAATTAGAAAAGTGGTTTCTGTTACACACAACCGACGTCATTCTAAACCATTCATCTACATTGCAGACAATTAGTAAAATCTTGCCTTTAACAAACTTGCAATTTCACCATTGGAATTTGTTTTGGACTTAATTATTGTTATATGGTAACAATACTTGCTTCAAAATCGTCATAATTAATCAAGTTTAGCTCGACTAAATTATCACTAATGACACGAAAATCCCTTCGCTAAATGTCTGTCATTATTTCGAATCTTCGCTCCTTTTCTTTTACTTATAAGTCTTTAAAGGTTTCTTACTTTCCTACTTGTTATGGGGGGTTTTAAAGTTTAACCCCCAGTTTATATCCCATAATTTCCCTGTTATATTCTAATCCAAAATACTCGCAGAGGGGAGAAAATCCAAAAAAAAAACTGATAAAGTCGAACTTTGACCCCCGTTTTCCATACATTCTATATGTTACAGTCTAATGGGGAAGTCAAGTTATGATCCCTTTGTTTGTTTTTTTTTGGCTATTTGAACGTGTTTACGCCTCGAAACCCCCCAAAAAACCTTCGAAATTTGTGTGTCAACGTATATTTTGCATTGTATCTCAGGATCGGATAAGCCAAAAATTTCGAAATTTGTCAGGGTTATTTCTGTTTATAAGACATTGATGCAGTTAAATTTTGGTGATTAAAGGTCAACTAGGTAGGGAGATATAGGGGAAAATACGTCTATAATCAATGGGGTCTGACATTTCTATCTTCAAAAATAAGCACGATAATTTTTTTTTTTTGTAATTATACACGCTTAAAATTTAAAAAAAAAGAAATTAGATTTAAAAATCGAACAAATAAGTGAAGAAATCAAAGATTTATTTACTTGAAAAATAATAATAAATAAATCTGTTCAATTTTGAGAGTGCTTTTGAAAGAATTTTTCACAGTGAGATGTTGTAAATGATTTACATTCAGTAATATTTTATTGGTTCGCTTGTTGATAGATCACCGAAAATAAGGGGGAGGGAGGGAGGGAAAATATATTTTCTTTTATTTATTTCTTTAAAATGAAAAAGATTGATCCTTTCGAAAAGTTAATATAAATTTTTATAACCGGCTCCCATTCAATTAGAAATTCTAGAGTCAATACGCGTGCAGCTTATCGATTTTTTAAGATGCTACCTTTATTATTTATAAGTATTTTTTTTAACAGCTAAGTGCAGTTTGGATTGTGGAAAACACGGAAAATGTGAAGAAGGTAGGTGTTCCTGCGAACAGGGTTGGACCGGAACCAAGTGTGACGAAAAACTATGCGATCAGAGGTGTTTAGATCACGGACAATGCAACAACGGAACGTGCATATGTATAGAGGGTTGGACAGGAAAGTACTGTACACTGGGTCAGTATTTATGCATTGTTTATCATTAGGTTATATCGGAATTTATCAATATTTTCCGTGATTTTTTTTTTTATATATTTAAGAGAGCTGTCCGAACGGTTGCAGCAATCGGGGACAATGCCTTCCTACCGGTTGCACATGCCAAGCCGATTTTGGTGGAAAGGACTGTAGCATCCGACTAGAAACAAACTGTGCCGACGACAAGGATAACGACGGAGGTAAAGAAAAGGGGGACGAACGTATAAAAGGGGGGAGAATATCTTAGGGGAAGAGGAAAAGGGGGAGGGAAGTATATACGAAAATAAATATGGAAGAAAGTCGGAAATATTGACAGCTAAATACAGTAAAGTTAACTAAAGAAAATCAAATCGCTGTTTACAATTTTTTCTTATCTGTCAATCAAAATCGAATTTCTTTATTTCATTTACCACGACAGATTTATCTATAGAAGATTTCTCTTGCCGATACATAAATGTATAACCAGCAATCTATCATGTATAGAGAGGAATGTATTTTATTAATAAAGTTTCACTCCGTTTACACAACAAATAGTCCATATTTTTGTGTAAACTATTCCATTCTTACTTAATAATAAATGTTACTGTTGTTTGTTTTGCTTCTGGTATTTTTCTTCATACATTTTTCACAATGAAGAAGAAGAGGAGGAGGAGGAGAGGAAGAAGAAGAAGAAGAAGAAAAAAGGAAAATACTATTTGCAAAATAGAAATATTAAGAAAGACTTTGCATCACGTTACAGTGTAAACATTTTTCCGACAAACTACATTACGTTGTTACGCTTGCTTATTGCCATTATATAAAAGCCTATCAGTTGTAGTATACGAGCGTAACGTAAAAGAAATATATATATATATATTTTCTAGAAGATATTAAATTTGATTTTCCTCTTCCATTTTCTTGTTTATCTTAAAAGTTTCCATTCTGACAGGGGGAAACATTTGTGGAATATGAATGCGATCTATCTTTTTCTATTGTAATTCAAACATTTTATGGTAAACACTGGAAGTTTTTGACGTCATAAAGCTTATTATTCATATTATATCAGCAGTTTATTATCTTTATCTATTAACGTTGATAATATATGGCATATATTTAGACGTTACGACCGTTTTAGTAGATGCTTTTTTTTATATATGTTACTTTCGTGTAGTAAACGGCGATTAAATATGATAAATTCTTCCTACGGCTTAATGAAGAAAAATCGACGATCTTTACTGGCTTTTAAAGTGTGTAAAATTTGAAAATATTGAAATTACCGGGTTATAAAGTTTAATTTTAATTGAATTCTAATCCGATAAACACTTGTAAACGTCTTGGTGTAGTACGAAATAACATAATTAAGCTCATTTTAAATCGTAACGCGGCCTGATAATTCCGTGACGTAACTAAGAAAATATGCGTAACGTACAAATGAAATTATAAAGGTTATTTTAGGAAACCTGTTTATGACGGGCGGACTTAATTAAAATGCCATTTAGTTAAGGAGTTTTAATCTTAATACTAATTAAACTGCTAACTTGTTAAAATCACTTAGCGTAACAATTCCGTATCGTAACTAAGGAAACCTAAGTAACATACGGATAGAATTATAATCATAATTTTAAAAAGCCTGTTTATTACGTGTGAAGTAAATTAAAATGCCATTCAGTTAAGGGGTTATATCTTAGTACTTGTTAAAGTCATGTAGCGTAACAATTCTGTGAAAATCTGTGTAACATACGAATAAAGTCATTAACTAAATTTCAAAAAACCTGTTTATGACGTACGAATTAAGTTAAAATACCATTTATTTAAAAGGTTTATAATCTTATTAGAAAAGTAACGTGGCGTAACAATTACGTATTGTAACTAAGTAAACCTGCGTAACATACGAATAAAATTATAATCATAATTAAAAGAAACCCGTTTATGACGTGAGAATTAAATTAGAACGCCGTTAAGTTAAATGGGTTTTAATCTTTTTGCAAATATATTTGTTAGTAATGGAAGTTTGTTAAGTTTAAATACTTCACAGTAAAATTAAATTAGAGTATTTTGTAATTAAGAAAACTTAATGAAATCCAAAGTAAACATTAAATTAGGATTACGTCTTTTGTTTAGCTTAATTTATAATGAAATATATCCCTTCAGGTGTGATGCAGAAGGGAGATGGTACGACGATATACTTCAGACAGCAGCCTCGAGTTATATCCATTCTAATGGGAACTGGAGAACAGAGATCCCTTCTTTGCCTAGATTGCAACGGTTTGGCAAGAGAAAGCAAGCTCCTGGCACCAGTGGCACTCACCAGTGGACCCGATGGTAGTGTTTATGTTGGAGATTATAATCTGGTCAGAAGAGTTACACCCACAGGACAAGTGTATACTGTCTTTAGAATGAGGTAAGCTCTGACGACGATCCATTCTTTCCTTTGCCTCCGAGATTGGAGCGAAATCGAACGTGGCGCTAAACCGAGGGATCTCGAACAACGAGTGTTGTATAAAACAGTGATGTCTGCAAGAGAGTTAGAATTGAGCATGACGTTACCCTTTCTCTGCCTCCGGAACAGGCATTAAAGCGAATGTGGCGCTAAACCGAGGGATTGGTAATGAGGTCTTATAGTCGAGTTAGGGTTGATGTTGGCGGCTCTCTTTGTTTTCTTACGAAATTGGCACTAAATCGAATATGGCGCTAACCCGAGGAATCTTGAACAATGAGTGTTGTACTTGTATAAAACGGTGGTCTATAAGTGAGGTGGAATTGGCAATATCGAAGGAATCGATATTGGTACTAAATCGAATGTACGCTAAATCGAAGGGCTCGAAACAATGAGAATTGTATAAAACAGTGAGTTGTACCAGTTAGAAAGTCATGTGATTTGGTGCCCTACGAAATTCGCACTAAATCGAGGGATCCTAGAATAATGAGCATTTAAAAAGAAAACTGCGAGATTTGCACACCAAAATCGCGTGATTTGCTGATGTCAATTCTTTTCGTTCGCTTTCGAAATTGACGCTAAATCGAATGACCCCGAACAATAAGAATTGTATAAAACAATGGGGTCTACATGCCAGTTGGAAAGTCACGGGATTTGTCAATATCAATTCCCTTTACAACGCAAAATACAGAACACCACCAAATCACGTGACATTCTAACACCCTTATAGTTCATTGTCTTATACAATTCTTATTATCTGGAAATACTTCGATTTAGCGCCACATTCGATTTAGTGTCAATTTCGGAGTCAAAGGGAATCGATATCACCAAAGCCCACCAGTAGCCGAGTGGATAAAATCACCGAATATTGTTAGTTGGTCGGGGATTCGTGTCTGTGAAACGAGCCTGCCACGCGAAGTTCTTCACGTTTATAACACCTAAACAGGGCCGGTTTTCCCATAAAAGTCCCTCGGCAGATCGCCACGTTACCAAATACTGTAAAAAGTAAACAATATCACCGAATCACGTGACTCTCTAACCACTTTGTACTGTACTACACTTCATTGTTTTATATCAATACATTACTTATTATTCGGGGTCTTTCGATTAATACGAAACGTCACTCGCATTAAACGCCTAGGTAAATTCCTAACGTCATTCTATACTCGCGTAACGTATATGTTTCATTAGGAGTAACAGCTCCATAAAAACGTACGGACGCATTGCAGATAGCGTAAGCACTTTTTGAAAAATTAAATTAGAAAAAAAGGGAGGAAAGAGAGAGAAAGAAAATGTTTTATATTCCATGTAATTTTGGGGGGAAACACAAAACAAAATGAACAATAAATGTCATATTTGAAAAGAAGGATAACACTATTACACAGAGAGGAAAAAAAAATACACGGCCTTATTGTTCAATTTGCAAATCTCTGTGTTATTTCAAACAGATACGCATTTAATGATTGGTTTTTAAAGATTTTTAAGTTATCATAAAACCCGCGAGATGCATTAAAGTATTAAATTTATAGTAAGGAAGGAAGAAAAAAAACGGGAGGAGGAAATCGAGGAACGTATCAGTGTGACGTAAAAAATAAGTGAAGTAACGAGTTTCCATAATGAGGTCAGACATTACTATAAAATACGCTGTCATAAGTCACAATATATGATGATTCGGAAGTCGGATAGAAAATTCGTGACTTTATTAGTCATCTAACACCGGGCAGGAAATAAGAAGTGAAAGAAAACGGAAGCTCGATCTACAGGGGGGAAAGGGAAAAAAACCTGTGTTAAAATAATTAACCTTCTAAGGGTGGCCAGTTGATGTATAGTAGGACAAATTACAAAAATTAGAATAATACTGTTTAGGAAACGTTAGAGTTAATGAAATGCGATTGTAATCTTCATCCTCTCCAAAGTACAAACTAAGAAATTAAATGTTGAAGAAGGGGGGAGTAAAAAAAAAGGAAGAAAATTTGTATTGTGAAAATGTCTTTAATTTTTCTACTGAGGCTCATTTTATCTTAAAAATAGCACGGGAAATAGAAAACTGTTACGTCCTAACACGAGAGATATTCGACTTAATTAAACACTTTGCTAGTTTTTTATATGTATATATACTTTTAACAAAATATTTACAAATAACTCGAGGAAATATTTAAGATTTCTTAGTTTAAAAAAAAAAAATACGACGTTACTCTAGACAAACGAAGTTTTACTTATATTTTTGAGTTTATGAATTTAATTTTTGGTATTTTTTATTTATAGGCGATTTTCAGCACACTTTTGATTGCTTTTATGAGCAAGCGATTTTCAGCATACCTTCAACTGTTTATATTAGCAAGCGATTTTCAGCGTATCTTCAATTAGCAAGCGATTTTCAGCACACCTTCAATTAGCAAGCGATTTTCAGCACACCTTCAATTAGCAAGCGATTTTCAGCATACCTTCAACTGTTTATATTAGCAAGCGATTTTCAGCGTATCTTCAATTAGCAAGAAAACTGTTACGTCCTAACACGAGAGATATTCGACTTAATTAAACACTTTGCTAGTTTTTTATATGTATATATACTTTTAACGGCGATTAAATATGATAAATTCTTCCTACGGCTTAATGAAGAAAAATCGACGATCTTTACTGGCTTTTAAAGTGTGTAAAATTTGAAAATATTGAAATTACCGGGTTATAAAGTTTAATTTTAATTGAATTCTAATCCGATAAACACTTGTAAACGTCTTGGTGTAGTACGAAATAACATAATTAAGCTCATTTTAAATCGTAACGCGGCCTGATAATTCCGTGACGTAACTAAGAAAATATGCGTAACGTACAAATGNAATTAGCAAGCGATTTTCAGCATACCTTTAATTGTTTTTATGAGCAAGCGATATTTAGCACGCGTTGAAATGTTTTTATTTTTACGTAGAACCGCGGAGATGTCCGCCCAGTACCACTTGACCCTGAGCCCCACGGATGGCCATCTTTACATATCTGATCCGGAGCGTCACAGGATCCTGCGCATTCATTCCCTGGACAAAGTGGACGATCCAGATTCGAATTTTGACGTGGTGGTGGGTAGCGGTGAGAGATGTCTTCCACGAGACAAAGACAATTGCGGAGATGAAAAGCCAGCTTTGGAAGCTCGACTTTCATATCCTAAAGGCAAAGTACTTTTTCAATATGATGGAAGCGAACTTTTATTGCTCGATAAAAATAAACAAACTTTTTTGCTGTAATTTCAATTGATTCCTTGGCTCGTAAGATATTAATTTTAAAGATATATTACGTCAACATCAATTTCTTTTTATATATATTAGATAATAAATATATTATTAAGAAATTCTTTCCATATGCTTTCCTCCCCTATTTTAGGTATGGCAGTTGCCGTGGATAATACACTATACTTTGCTGACGGTCCTAACATCCGCATGGTAGACAGTAGAGGTGTGATACACACGTTGATTGGCGACCATCAGTATAAGAAACAATGGAGGCCAATGCCCTGTTCTGGAACTCTTACCGTGTCCGAGGTTGAATCATTTTCGCTTACTTTCTACAATTAATTCATTAACTAATTAAATTAACTCTTTCGGAGTCGTAAGAGGATTTTTCTTAAGTATTTTTACATTGTTTCCTACCTAAGCTCTGTTAAATCCCTATAAAATTAGAGAGAAAAATGCCTCTAGTCATTAACAGAAATAAAACAATCGTTTAAAGTTACAAAATAGCAATTTTTTTCCTTCTTCTTCTTCTGTAAATTTAGAAGTTTCCTAACAAATCCTTTCAGATTTTTCTTCCTCTAAACTTTTTATGTCTTCGCGCCATTTCCATTTCTAAACAAGACGACAGTTGAAAGAATCCTATTGTTTCTGGCTGAATTAATTAATTTTTTTTCTCTTTTCTTGGCTTTCAGGCAAAATTGAGGTGGCCCACAGATCTGGCAATCAGCCCTCTGGACGGTTGTCTGTACTTTATAGACGATCACATGGTTCTGAAACTGACAAAGGACAAAAGAATAATGGTTGTGGCTGGCCATCCCGTATATTGCAAGACCCAAGACGAAACTGATCAGAGACCGAGAGTAACTGGAGATTCGGCACTAAGATCACTGGTCAGTTTCGCATTCGGACCTACGGGGATTATGTATATAGTGGAAGTAGACGATAGAAACGTATACAGAATTAGAACCCTGACTGCCGATGGTGACTTGGCTCACTTCGCTGGAAGAGAAGATTCGTGCGATTGCCAGTGGCAAAACTGCACGTGCGTAACAGGGAAAGAAGAAGGGATGCTGGCGGTGGACACTCGATTGATATCTGTGACGTCGGTTACGGTGACGTTCGACAACGTGGTGCATATAGCTGATCAGGGCTCGCTGCGGATCTTATCCGCGGTGCCCTACTTACCACCACCCGACGAACAGATGCAGTATCAGATAGCCTATCCGGATCATCACGAATTATACGTGTTTAATAAATATGGCCAACACGTCTCTACTATAAACATCCTGACTGGAAAATCCATCTATACTTTTCTGTATAACGTCAATACCAGCTTTGGTAAACTAAGCGCCATTACAGACACTTCCGGTAATAAAATATCGTTTCTGAGAGACGCAGGAAACGATCTTCAGACCATAGAAACTGCCAGGGGTCAAAAATGTCGTATAGAAGTCACTAAACAGAACTTTCTAACGACGTTCGTCGATCCTAATAATTCGGAAAATGTGTTGGAGTACGATTCAGTTGGGCTTTTAGTTAGAAAATCCGACACATCTGGTAATATCTTTTTTTACCTTTACGACAATAATGGAAGGTTAACCACAATCGTAAAACCCACTGGCAGAGTTACGAGTCTAACCTTCGATCTCAGTTCGGTAGGTGCAACGGTTTCCTCTAGAGATTCCGAACGAAATTTGGAAGTCACGGTCCGTGGTACCAAAGTCATTTCCGAGCAAGGTTACCACTTCTTCCTCTTTAATGACGTATTCTGAATCTTAAGTAGAAATCGAATTACAATTGGCTTAATTTTTCAGGTGGTAGCCACGTGCTGCAGACCACTCTCCACAAAGACGGGACAATAGAAGTAGAAACTCCGTGGAACCAAGCGGTGGTTTGGGAAGCCACCAATCATCAAGTATTGCAAGATTCGATGCCGGTTCAGGCTGGGATGTTTCCTTTACCCACCAGGCAGAAAACATTTTTTGGGATGGAGCAAACAAGTGTTACGGAATGGAATTACGGCATTAAATATGGAAAAAAAGATGGCCACCGGAGTGTAACAGCTGTCGAACGAATCCTAATGGTAAGATAATAGGGCGCGTTGGCCGCTTCGATCTCCATCTCACTATATTGTAACTTTTTTCCTTCCTTAGGTGAATAACAGCCAGTATTTGTCGGTAGAATATGATTGGATCGCTTCTAGAGAAATATTCTACAATAGTTCCAGAAGGCCCTTTCTGGTGGTGCAATACGACAATCTCGGAAGGCCCGCGCAGTGGCTTCCCACCGACACCAGACTACCCGTTAACATTATGTACGAGAGGTTAGGACATCTGTCGGGTTGGCAACAAGGAACTTTAGCAGAAACATTCGGCTACGACAGAATGGGCCACCTGTCCGAGATCAAATACCCCGATAACGCATCTAACAGGATGACGTACGAAGGGAAAACCATGGTAAACCCCTCATTAATTATCTTCCCGTATAACCCTAAAATTCGTGCCCCTTACTCGAGTTACTACTCTTTTATTAGCCCAGCAAGATAGTGTTACCTAGTGGAAGAAAGTATACTTATCATTACGACGAACACGGAGGGCTTCGTTACGTCACCACTCCTCGTGGCACTAGACACATATTTGCTGCGTACACTGCCATTGGCGTACGTAAATTTTCTTATACCCCACCTGGGAATAAAGCAACTTACTCGGTACACTTCAACGATCTTCGTCTTCCGGTTCTCAAGGTGCATCCGGGTGATTACGGAAGAGTACTGTACAGGTAGGAGGATATTTTTCAAATATTTGAACTGTTTCCGGTGTTAAATATTTGAATAAATAAAGAATATTTATTCAAATATCGGTATATTTAGCCCGAATAAAATCAAACAAGACCGGAAAATTGAACCTTTTATAAGTATCTTTGTATAAATTTGATTGCCGTGATGGAATTTTGGTGAAATTTAATATATAATCGAATTAATCTTATCTATCAAGAATTCGATGAACTTAATCGAATTTTGTCATGGTTGATATGTTTACTTAAGTCAATTATGTATTCCTTTTGCAGAAAATATAATTAAATTTCTGTTGAACATTCCAAGTATTGATAATGATACAAAGTTTAAACATTTATTACACTTTAGAATAATATTTTCTTACATAAAAATTACCTTTAATTAATGCGCCCCTAAATTTCTTAACGTAATTTTCAAAGTTGCGGATGTAATAACCATTTCTTGAAAGGATGTTTTTGTCTTCTAGGTACACCAACCATTCTTTGCTCTCCGCTGTAATCTACGGAGGAGGAGAAGTGAGGAAGACTTACACCTCTTCTGGACAAATTTCTTCAGAATTCTGGAGTGCCAACGGGATTAATATCGTTACAGAATATAAATACGAAGGGATACTTCTGACAGAATCAAAAACGACGGTACACGGGAGCCCCCTCCTTGCCAAGGCAAATTTCCGTTATAAATATGATTCCTTAAACCGCATTACCTCCATCATCCCTCAAGTTGCCGACATCCAACTGCCTAATTTGGAGTTCTTGTATAATGGTACCACTGGGAAATTAGAGCACATTAGCCCCTTTCGTATATCGGAGATCAGCTTGAATGGTACAGTATTCTCGGATGGCACAGTGTCTTACATAAGGCACGCGGATTCTATCAGGAGAATCCATCAGGTATCTCTAGTGATCAGTGATAAAGAAGTGTATGGCATAGACGTTAAGTATAACGCCAGGAACAATGTTATCTTATCGAGAATCTATATGAGGCATCTAGGTACTTCTATGGTGAGAGTTCAGAATTTCACTTACGATCAGGATGGGCAGTTAGTAGAGATGATGGGAAGAGATCAGTGGAAGTTTACGTATGACGAAAATGGTAATATGGTCACTATGCAATATATGGGTAATCAGATAGATATCGTGCACGATTTGGGTGATAGGATCGTCAGCTTTGGTGAAACTCCCTATTTGTTGGACACCAGAGGATTTGTCGTTCAGAGGGGTGAAGAAGTTTTGCTTTATAATACCAGAGGGCAATTGATAAGAGCGACCAGATCGGGTCGTTACGATGTACAATATTATTACGATGCCAATTCTAGATTGTCGGGTAGAAAAGATAGTTTTGGTAACGTTACTCAATATTTCTATTCCCATCCTAACTATCCGTCCCTTTTAACACACGCTTATAACAATGCAGATGGGAGAATAATTACTATTACTTACGACGATAGATTGTTTCCTGTGTATATACGATTAAATCGTGAAAGTTATTACGTGGCTACGGATCACATAGGCAGCCCATTGTTAGTTTTTGACGTGTACGGTGACGTTGTTAAAGAAATTCATCGTGGACCTTACGGTCACGTCTTGTTCGACTCCAATCCCAATTTCTATTTACCCGTGGATTTTCAAGGAGGTCTCCTCGACCCCGTGACCGGCCTCGTGCATTTTGGCGATCGCATTTACGATTCGTTAGTTGGACAATGGATGACACCGAGATGGGAGGACATGTTACGTCATCTTTCCGATCCGAAAGGACTTCATCTGTATCGTTTCAATAAGAACGATCCTGTGAATTTACCGATGAATTTCAAGAAAAAATTGGGTGAGTATACAGAAATCGTACTGAAAACTTAACTGATAATTGTTATAAGTAAATTTTCTATTGTCAGATCTCAACGAATGGATAAAAATTCAAGGTATAGATATGTCCAGTTTAGATTTGGGAGCAGAGAAGTTATTCGAAGACGATCCGAAAGCTGATCCTCCACCTCTTTACATGGACGTGCCAAGTATCACTACGATATCAGGGATTACTTGTTCTATAAGACAGAAACTTAAGACATTTGCGAGTATATCGAGTGTTCAGAAACCGCGCGTGAAGTTAGAGCAGCTCTTCGAGAAGCCAAAACCTAGAATTTCAACCGAAAGAATACCGTTCGGAAGGGGTATCATGGTGACGAAAAGGGAAGGTAGAGTTTTAGTACACGCGACATCGGAAGCCGACGCGATAAGCAAAGACGTATTTGTATCAGTATTCAATAACAGCTATTTATTAGACATACAATTCCTTCACCACGGTCGCGATGTATACTACTTTGTTAAAGAGAGCACCTGGGGGGTGGTCGACGACATAAATCAACTGCAGAGACTTGGAAGTGCCGCCAATGCCACCGTGCACGAAATCAAAGCCGACGATCAGCAAGGGAATCACGTGGGTGACGTCAAAGTGCATCTTCATCACGCCATCATCAACGTCAGATACGGTACGACACCAGAAAGAGAGCATCAACGTCTTTTAAAACACGCCAAGCAACGAGCGGTATCTCAGAGATGGGCACAGGAGAAAGAACATTTAATATCTAATCCTAGGAGCCCATCCAGATGGAACGAAGAAGAGAAGAGCCTTCTTATAAACACGGGTTCCATCGCCCATTACCGGGACCGTTATTACCACGATCCTCTCGTTTATCCGGAACTGAGTGACGATCCGTGGAATATCGTGTTCGAGAAATCCGCATCCGAAAGACGTAGGTGATATAGTCTATGCAAGTGATGTGTGCACAGAAACACTCGGCTTTCCAGTCCAGCGTGCCAATACTGCCTTCAAAAAAAAAAAAATAATCCTGTGATGCCTGCTACGTTGGTACTGTAAGTGGTATCCGGTGCATCCGTTCCTGTATATAGCACGAAGGCCGTATAGATCGTGAATGGTACATTAACCCGCGGGCGGGTAACTAGTAAGATGTTCCATGCCGAATGTACATTTTTTTGTTTTTAGTAAAGGACACTAAACAAAGGGCAATTATCTTGTGTTGTAAATCGATAATACAAAAGTCGATGTGTGAATAACTCTATAAATTATGGGAATTAACCACACGCAAAACATGTGCCATGAGTTAAAATATATTATATAAGAGAGAAAGAAAAGAATTTAAAAAAAAAATTCAATCAAAGTTGAGCAATATTCATCAAAACAGATGAAAATTGTTAAAGAATTCGTTCGATTTAACCATGTTATGGTCAATTTTTTTCCACAGGATGGGCATGAAATTGTTTTTTAAACATAGTTTCTTTTTTATTTTAAATAAGAGAAACGGGGATTTTTCTTTTTTGCTTGGAAGAACCAATTGTTGATGAAGAACATTTATAATTGTGCAACCAGATAAAATATATATATATATAAAATAAGAACATTTCCACGGATTTACGAAGTGGAACGTCTCTTCTTCCTCGTTTCAAAGCGAAGACAATGATTTTTCCATTGTTAATTGGATGTCTGACCTTCTCCCATTGTTGTACATTTTTATATGAGTAACTCTACCGGTATAGAGTTTCTAGAAATTGTAAATAATGATCAGTTATTTAATTTCTTTCTGTATAATCGATAAAGAAAATAAAAAAAAGGTATTGTTAAATGCTCCCCCGCGTCATTTAAACACAATAGATGTATTTTCTTTCGTTTAAGTTATACGTCTTACCACCTTCACAGCAATATCCTGTCTTGTCCATTATCTAGAGGTTCATGAAAAAAATTTATAACAATGATTATTGGATGTTATAAAAGGCAGCAGAGAACAGTAATATATCATTTATAGTTGCTACAGGCCACTTGGAACCATTCATTATTTTACAGCCTAGTGTTTTTTCTTTACACTCCTTCTATTAAAACTTGCCAAACGTCATTATTTTTAATATAATTTTAAACATATTTTGAGCTTTAAAAAAAGAAAATTACCAGGTTTATAAAATAATTTAATTATAAAGAATATATATATATATATATATATATATTTTGCTTTGTTCCTTCCAAAAACAATAGCTAATCTGAAGTAAATTAAATGGATAAAAATTTTTATTCTTCATTTTAAACTTATTTATCAAAGTGACGATCGATGTTGAAGATCGTATTTCAATTTTAATTAAATTTTTTTTTTTATTTTTATTTAATTTTGTTTTTTGTTTTTACGTAACACACGGCCAAACAATAGACATTTTTCTATACTTCCATGTAACACGAGCTTAAAATTCATCGTAAGAAGTATTAAATAACAATTGTTTGTCGTTTAAAACTAATAAGGTTGAACACCGCTACTTATATTTATGTTTACCGAATTAAAATAAACTTCGTTGATTAGAGGTTGCATAACTTTCCAGGCAAAAAAAAAAAAGTTAAAATTGTCTATGGTGCCATCTGTTATCAGATTATAATTAAATTTAAATCTTTAATTTTGAGGATAGAAGTGAGTTTTATAAACATTCTAAATGTTAAAACCGATTAAATCTTCATTAATTCGATCCCCTCTAGTTCCTCATCCCCTTGACCTTTAGCTACCAAAATTTACTAGTATCGACCACTTTAATATACAAACCTCTCTGTCAAATTTCAGAAATTTATGGCAAAAGGAATACGAGTTATTAAGCTTTAAAGTGGGTGAAGAAAATCCTGCCCCCCACACACAAACATCCATACATATAGAAGAAAACCCCAAAATCGACATTTTCCAGTAAAAATCTCGAGGGGAGAAGTCATTTTTTGATCTATCTTCATACTTTCCATGTGTTTTATATAAAGTAAAACTCGTAAATTTCGGGGAGGGATTAGGTAACGTACAGTACATTCAGTTAGGAGAACAATCCTGTAGCGATGGAATGCTCCACATTAATTTATAGATAATCTATAACCCAACATACTTTCAGTTCTTTTCGTCAAAAAAGAAGCAGATGTTATACTTTGATCTTGGGCGTATCCCATAATCCTTTCCTTTATTTCCTCTACTCTTCCTCTAAGTCTTCCAAGTTCGAACTTCTCTCAATTATTTGACCTGGATGAAGCTGGAATGTTGGGATTGATGGCGTCATTCTTTATGTCCCCCTCATCACGTGGTCAGGGTGTGGCCGGTCATTCGTGGCCGATCTATAAGGGCTGATGGAAATGCGACCTCATTCTTCTGTTCGTTGAAAGATAGCGAATGTCACGAAATACAATGACGTTCGCAGTTTGGTGTAATGTCTTGTCTAATTCCATTGTTGCTGTAATGGCACGTGGAAACGGCTTACCCCTACATTGCTACGTATTGTGAGAATTTCTGCCACGATGGACCAAAGATTAAGCGTATTATCTAGATGTAATGGCATCCCTCTTGTGTGTTTTTGGTGTAATCGTAGGCAGAAATGGATGCGATTTACAGGAATTGTTAGGTAATTTCCAAGAATTATTGGATATTTTTTTTTCTATATATATATTCTTTTCTGGATCTGCGTGTTCTTTTGAATCCGGGACACGGAAAATCGAAATATTTGTTTTTTCGAATTGTTTATGGACGCGCGTAAACACAATTCCGCATTTTTACGTTGCTTCACTTAAACATATAAAACCAGAGTATATTAAAGAATTTTAAAAGTAAAATGTTATTACTATTTACTGATCGTTCGTGTAAAAATTCGCTTTATCCTAGGAAATTCGGTGAGTTTGACAATTGTTTTCGTACCCACTCGAGCATTTAACTCCAAAGTAAATATATAAAAAAGAAATAATACAGGCAAACCTCTGTATAACGGCCACCGGCGAGAGAACCTTTGTTTCGGGGCACGCGTAACAAAAAAGAAACGTTCCTGAAACAATGTCCGTTATTGGAGGTTCGACTACTAATTCACTTTAGCCTGCCAACCCCTATACGTTATCAAACGCATTTTTTTTTTTTTTTGGCTTTTTATAAGGGTGCCACGATACAGGGCGATCCAAAAAGTCACTTAACACCCACGTAAAATCGGCACGTTACGCTTAGGGGGCAACCATCTCTGCGTGTCAGAAAAAACAACGTAACAAGTTCAATTTTATAGGGGTGTAGTTTATTTTGTTAAAGCAATGAGGTCTTCCGACTGGGGAGGACTTTTAAGAGAAACTGGCCCCTATTCAGTTGTTACAAAGGTAAAAAAAATGCGGAAAATTCCACGTCCCTGTCCAATAGCAAGCACGAAACCACGACCAGTTTTCAGTTGTTCTATCCACCCAGCCATTAGCGGGCACTCGATTTTATAGGGATGTTAATCGACTTTTGGTCCATCCCGATAATTATTAATATTAATAATAGGAAAAGTTATAAGTGTTTTATAGTTTACCCTTGTTTTCTATTTGTAATTAAGGTAGCGAAGTGCCATAAAAGTTTCGACTTCCTTACTTTTCTCAAAAGTGCATTTCACTATCAAAATAGATGGCCAATGCCCCCTCCCCCAACTGTACTTTAATAGTTTGCAAGTAATCGAATGTAAAGCAATATTCCGTTAAAAAACTTAACGATCTGGAAAAGGTAACAGCAGCCATGGGTATCGGACCATCTCAACTTTTCCGGATTTTGATCAGTACAACATAGTAGTTACACTACCTGGACAGCTTGGAAAGATATGGGCTACTTTTATAGACTCATAAGGTACAAAGTGCAGGCAGATCACATTTACTAAATTTATAAACTACACGTGTGAGATTTACACCTTGTCCAATATTAAAATATATATTTTTTTTTCCCTTTCCTTCTTCTCTCCCTTTCCTACGGTGAAATTCCTAAATTTAGTTTTTTTCTTTGCCTGTTTTTCCGGTGTGAATATGGCATTTATTCTAGAAGGCGCTTTACTAATACAGGCAGCGCCACACCAGGCAGGTGCAACGAGTACAAAGTCCAGGACGAAAGGGCATCAAGAAAATAATTTATATTATATATTTATTTTTAAATCGATTTCGTAACGTTTTGGGCTGTTAAATTTAAAAATTAACCGGTCATTTTTGCAGTATTTTGTTTTATTTTATTTTTTTTATTTTCAAAAATTAGGAAACACGCAGGGAAGATGGAAAGCTCGTTACGACACTAGAGGGCGCTTTATTATTAGTGAGAGCTTACTACTAGAAAACATTGTTAGGGGCGCTCTATTATTATTGGTCACTTACTATTAGAGGGCGCTCTGCTACTAGTGGGCACTTACTATTAGAGGGCGCTCTGCTACTAGTGGGAACTTACTATTAGAGGGCGCTTATTATTGGAAAGCACTTAATGTTAGAGGGTAATTTACTATTAGAAGGAACTTACTATTAGAGGGCGCTCTGCTACTAGTGGGAACTTACTATTAGAGAGAGCTTATTATTGGAAAGCACTTAATGTTAGAGGGTAATTTACTATTAGAAGGAACTTATTATTAGTAGGCACTTTACTACTAAAGGGCGCTTTTTATTAGAATAAAAACAGCATTATTATTATTATTATTACTTTATTGATCTAAACGTAGAAGAACCCGTTTCGGTCTATAACAAGTTATTTGCGTGTATAAAAATTTTTAAAAAAATTTAAAAAATAATTTCTATCCTTAAAATATTTTGCTATTCTCTACTTAAATCAAATCGCATTAATCACATTTTAAAAAATTGCAAATTCGGAAACTATTTTCTGATAGATTACGTCTCGTTTGACAATCTAATCTATTCATTATTCATTCGGATGGATTTCCCCCCTATAGAAATATAAATTTTTTTTCTCTGTTTTTTAAAATTCTATTTTTAGATTTTTCGAGTTTAAATGATGACGAATGTGTTGTAAATCAATAATTTTACTACCTTTTTCCGTGTGAGTTACATATGCAAAATATATATGTATATATATATATATATAACTTATATCTGGATAGAAAAGCAAACGATCGATATAGAAAAGGAAGGCATAAAATAGGCATTGTATAACACGCATACATAAGTTATAAGATAAAATATATATGTATAACCCGATCCTAAATAGAAATATATATAAATTTGATAGATTATATATCAAATGGAAATAAAAAAAAGTAAACGGAAGAAAGAAGCAGACTTATTATAGAAGTCGGTGTATCAATATTTTCTATAGCTTCTAGTAACAACAATATGGATTTTTTTTATGCTCATCGATCTTTCTTTCCTCCCGATTAAACGGGTATATAAGCGTTAACTTAATCTACTTATCGGAGTAATTACACGGCGCTCTCGCTAATCCGGCACACCTGTATTATTCGTGCTTTTTTTTAAAAAAAATACCTACAGTAAACTTGTGACTTCTGGGGAGTGCAACTTTTAATAATTAATTTTAATTTTGAAAAAAGTCATCCCCAGACTGGAAGTTTGTATACAGTTAATCGTGGCTTCTGGCTCTTACGCTTTCTATATCTGGTCTCGATTTCCATCTATCTAAGTCTATATCTGGTCTCGATTTTCATTTATCTAAATCTATATCTGGTCTCGATTTTTGTCTATCTAAGTCTATATCTGGTCTCGATTTTCACATATTTAAGTCTATATCTGGTCTCGATTTTCATCTACAGTATCTAAGTCTATATCTGGTCTCGATTTTCATCTACAGTATCTAAGTCTATATCTGGTCTC